TCTAATGAAATATATGACATGCCTGTTTCTCTTCAAAGCAATGATATGACACCAGCGGAATGGTGGGATGAACATCCATGAGAACAGTTAAAAATTGGGGGATGTGTTTCAAAGACGGGCACATCAAGTTGCTGAAGCAATGCCCAGGACATCCCAGGACCAACTAGACCAGTTTATGTGCAGGGCTGGGTCTGTCGGGGCGCAGGAGCAAAGTGCTGCCGAATTTGTACCAGCCATGCCACTGGTACTTCCTTTGGCGGTCTTTGCAGGACGGATGGGGGTGGCTGATGGATGTCGAGTGTCAGCTTCTACTCAGTGGCACTATTTGTGGCACAGTTTCTCATTGAATACATGCATATACTCATATACTGCATATACAAGAATGACACGCGTATACAAAGCACAAACTGCCAGCTTGAAGCTGGCACGCAGAAGTCGTAGTAACTTAGTAGCAAGTTCATGAATATCCAACATCTAGCAGCACTCAATGGTCTCAATATGTCTCAATCATTTGCCAGTTATCTTCTGGAGTACGAGTCCACTTTGGGTAGAGTATGATTGATTAATCATTAATCCCACCCACCTAATATTAAACAACCTCAAAAAAAAACATAATTTAGTAGGGAACCACAAGTATTTGGGAAATTTTGGGACGATTTAGGGGGTGTTTAATATTCATATATTCTATAGGCGAATGAGAGTACTTGCATGATTTCCAGTTTTTTGACCACATTTTTCTCTGCCAGTATGCGGCCTGAGCCTTCTTCGCTTGCTGAAGTGAGTGGCTCTGCTGGCTCACTTGGCACAGGCGGGAGTAACTACTGGAAAAGCTGAGCAGTCACGCAAGAGACATCCAGCAGTTGAATCCTAACCATCCTAACCTTTCAGGTCGAAGAGCTTAGGATGTTTTATTTTAGTCCTGTACATTCCTGTACACTGTAGCTGTGTTACTGCTAATGACATCCAATGACTAAGTAGCAACTGACACCCATTTACTGTATATATATACGATTATATAATTATATAATAATAATAATTATTATTATTATTACTATTATCATCATCATCATTATTATTATTATTACTAGTAATTATTATTAATTATTATTAATTATTATTAATTATTATTAATTATTATTAATTATTATTAATTATTATTATTAATTATTTATTATTATTATTGTTATTATTATTGTTATTATTATTGTTATTATTATTATATATATATTTATATATATATATATGTGTATTTTCCACGTACTAGTAGAACATATACTCATAACACAGTGCCCGGATGCACCCACGCGAAAGTTCTAATGGCTATACAGGAAAAGATTTGCCTATATTACTTGTATAAGAATAGTTGCCAGCTGACATCGGTGTTGATTGATTGAATGACTGAATGATTCATTGAGTGGTTGAATGGTTAAATTGGACGCTGACAGATTCCCTGAGTGAGTAGCGCTCGCTGAAGAACTGACTGAACGAGCCTCTTCTTCTCTGATTTTCTCTGAACTACTTCTACTCCGAGGCAACTTCTAAGGATCTTCTAAGGCGCTTCTTCGCTGTCTCAGGTGCCCAGTCTTCTGTCGGCTACTTTTTTTCTGAGGCACCTATTTGCATCGGCAACTCTTCGCGTCAGAGCCAGGCAATATTGGTTCATATTGGTTCTTTTGATTCCTTTTGCCCTGCATCCAACCCTGCATCATGATGCATCATAACTGTTGCAATATGTTTGGTAAACTCCAGTTGCATTGTCGCAGCAAGGGCCGCGCATGGGAAAAGAGGTTTTTCAGCGCTTTGAGGAACCTCCAGTTCCTGCACAGCACGGCTGCACCATTAAATCCTCAGCACAGTCCCGAACCGCCCAGGCCTGCAACCATGGAAACACAGACCCCCCGTGGCCTTTATGACCCAAGAACTGCAGCATTTGGTGTGCTCTAACCTCCTCAATGATTGGTGAATCGAACTTGCTGACTGGTTGAGTTGGTGAGGTGAAATCGTCTATTGCCAAATCACGAAAGCTAGCTTCTGCTAGCTGAAGTCCCTATTACTTTAGCAAGGTATTGAGGGGCTGGAATCTCCCCGTGTTTGGCAGCATGAAACTTCAAGCAGTTTGGCCGTGGCTCAATCCCCCCGAGGACACCGTCGGCATGTCGCCACCGGCAGCAAATTCGGCAGCACCCACATCCTCAGCATCCTTGTGTTTTCATGCCAAGCTCCCTGCCAAGCTAGCTTTCGCCCCTTACCCCTGTGCCTCAAGTATGTATGCGGATTGTTCGGAAGTTTCTCCTCTACTTTTCCTTTGAAAATGAATGAACATGATATATATATATGATAACATATGTTTAACAGTAAATATACGTATAGGACATATTGAATATATAAATGATAACTATATTATACTATATTATATGATATTATATTATATTATATTATATGATATTATATTATATTATATTATACTATATTATATTATATTACATTATATTATATTATATTATATTATAGTTATTTATAGTTATTACATCATATATTATACATATTATTGATAAATGAATATAATGAATCCATTTGTTCCATGGATCCCATGTTGATTTATCAACCACTCCGGAATTGTAGCATGACCAGGAGCTGCCTGAGGGGCCGCCTGAGGCCCTGCACGTCCAAGATTTGCTTTTGGTGGATTTCCGACCAAGAAGGAATTGAAAATTGTTGCTGGAACTTGGAATAAGACAATTCTTTACCAACAATGAGTTACCAACAACTACAACTGAACTTCAATGATTTACCAACAACTAACTGAGAACCAATGATTTACCAGCAACTTTGAGAACCAATATACCAACAATTTGTCTGAATGGCCATAATTTTCGAATTTAACGAAAGAGGAATTGGGTGATGAACGGTGATGAACATAATGTTGTTGGTGGTCAGACTGTGGCCAACCCCCTTAGACCCTTAGATGTCAAGCTCCGTTGAAGTCTGGGTCCCACCGTTGGATGAAGCGGATGAAAAACCAGGAAATCCTCAAATTTTGTTGAGTCATTCCAGAGAGGTTTAATGGTGCTTTAATGGTGATTTAATGGGATTTAATGGGAATATACCATCTGGACATCCCATCCTTCAGGTAGGAAACAGCCGGTACATCCAAAGTCCCTATTCCTGAAATTTGTTTCGTCGTGGACGTCAAAACCATCAGAAGTGAAAGATCAACCTGACGACTTTCAGCCAGAACCGAACAGAACCGAAGACAGCAACCTTGTTGCATGGAAGAGCTGCTGCTCAATGCAGACCCTAAAGTTTCAAGTTTTCGTCTGTAGTTTGTATTGGATATATTCCACCACATGCTTTCTCTTTTGAACGTGTTGTGTTGTGCAACAAGAAGAAACAACCGGCTGATATCTTTCGATGCCGAAGTGCTCCGGTCATCTTTATCGTTTTCCTCCTATGGAAGTGGGCAAAGCAGAGCCAAACCGGCACTCCCAAATTTGACACAGTACTGCCCTTGGTACTTGATAGCAGTTTGATCTGCTTCAAACAACTCTCACAGATTGTATTGTTGAACAAAACTGTGCATCTTGGATCTGACATGATCTAACAATTGATCTAACCATTGATCATTGATCTAACTATGTGGGAACGGCGGTTGGGTTTTGGACCTCCCTGGAAGCTCACTCTTGGAATGTGACTCTTGGCGTTTGGCTTTGCGCCTTCTCTGGCACCACCGGTGTCAACCATCCCAAGCCTGATGACAACGCGCAGTCTGGGCCTCAAAAGGTGGACATTTTGCATCTTTTTCCCGTCCTGGTCTAAGAATCTCGTTCTGGCACGCAGGGTGATATGATCAGATACTGTAACTTGAAACCATTTGAATCGCCAAGACCAGCAGTGGAGCTCAAGCTTTCTTCTGAAAGCACTTTGATGTACTTTGATACATTTTGATTAGTGACAACGGGCTTTTCGTAGCCATGCGCTGCCAGTAACTTGCACAGTCCTGACCATTGATGGTACACTCATGCTGGCGACATGTCGTGGTGCTGCACGCCGCAAGATTCAACTTATACAATTAGTACAGTACTCTCACGAGAGTTGAACACTTCCTGTTGGATCAAATATGAAACTGGAGGTAGCACCCGATAATTTGCTTGGAATTCGATCAATTGAATTGAAACCCTTTCTCCCATTCAGAGATTTTGGATACATGTGGTGCATTGCTTGCTCCTGTTACGTTGATATATTTGATATGTAGCTTTATCATCACTTGTTTGTATACAGTATAGATGTTGTTAGGTTGTACCTGTGATGCGGCCAAGTTGATACAAATCAAGGGCCTCGATTTTTCTGACATGATATGACAACCGCCAAGTGCTCCAAGTATCTCCAAGTGCACCTTGGGTGGACATGATGATTCTCATCCTGATCCGAAATTTCAGGTTTGATGGATAGATTTTGTGGAGGGACTTCATGTCTTACATTGTCTTGCTGGTATGATACTTTAGAACAAGCTGTCCTGCCAGGCCCCAGGGTATCTACTTTCACCGTGGAATCCATAGAGTGAGTCATAGCATCAACATGGAAACCTCATACGGCCGAATCCTGCTGATGTTGGTTGTTTTGTTGAGCATTGTAATTGTAATATATTCTGGTTGGTGGTTTCAAACAGCCCTGGCCCAAATCCCTGACAGTGGGAGGTTTCGCTAGCTGAAGTTTGGGAGGTTGAATCCAATGTCCGGTTCTTCTGACCAATTTTGTTTTTCGACCCTGTTCGTCCCCACATGGACCTGCCTCAACAATGGCTCTACTGTTTCAATTGTCTTAGACAATATGATTTGGTCTGAAAACTCTGGAGTTGGGACTACGGTACCTGGGGGGCAGGTGGTAAGGATCTGCGGACTTATTCCCCCTGGAGTCACTGAAGCCACCAAGATCACTGTGCTGGGTGCGTCCTTCCTGTCTTGTGGCTCCGTTGTGGACTTGGTTTTGGACTCCTCCTGCACCGTCCTTGCCCACAAACCCTTGTGTGCCAGCCATGTGTTCAATTTGGTGGAGCTGTGTGCGGGGGTTGGACTTTCGTCGGTGGGCTTCTGTCGTGCTGGTTTCCATCACAAATGCTCAGTTGAAAAACAGCCCAAGCTTGCTGAGCTGCACATGCAAATCCACCCTGGCGTTCCTGTGGTTTGCTCCGATGTTTCGTTGGACTCCACTGCTGGCTTGATTTTTGCTCAGTGCTCTGACCCATGCACCCTCATGTCAGGTATCGCATGCCAACCATATTCCAGAGGTGGCTCTCAACAAGGAGGTCATGACAGTCGTGCGGCTTCACTTCCTGGCACCTTGCGCATGTTGTACCTGTTGCAGTCCCCAGCATTGGTCATAGAGTGTGTGGTTCCAGCACGTGACAACATGTATGTCAAAGGGCACCTTCAAGCTTTGGTTGATCAATTGGGTTACTATGTGGTTGAATGTTCCCTCAAACTTGAAGAAGTATGGGCGGCATGCAGGTATCGGTGGTGGGTCATTGCCACCCATCCATGCATTGGACCAGTCCAGATACCGGAATATCCCAAAGGGTCGTCTCTGGTAGTCCGTGACTTGATGCCGTATGTCCATAGATGGCCAAGTGAGGTGGAAGAGCAGCTGACCTTGCAGGCATCCGAAGAAACCAAGTTTCAACTGGCAGGACAAACACTGAGGCAACACCAGGTTAGACCAGATGCCAAGCTGCCGACTGCACTTCATTCATGGGGCAATCAGACTTTGCCATGTGCTTGTGACTGCAGGCCTACTGGCTTCAGTGATGAGTTGTTAGCTTCCAAAGGAGTTTATGCCCAGCTCCTGCAATTGCCGGCCACTGAATCACAATCAGGAGCTTGGCGTCACCTGCATGTGCTTGAGGTATCCTTGCTCAATGGAGTTCCCTTGAACCTGAGGTGGGGTGAAAACCAACGCTTGAACCTTTGCGCTGTTGGACAGATGGCTGCGCCAATGCAGTCGATTTGGTTAGCTGCTGCTTTGGCTAGACACGTGCAGATGTTGTTCACAGCTGACTCCCCCACTGAACCCATGCAACTTCTGCAGATGCTGAAGACTGAAGTGATGTCTCAATGCAGGGACCTGTTCCCCAACTTGCCTCGTCAACCGACGAACCCAGACAGATGCCAGATTGTGGTGCAGCAGCCTGGACAGCCAAATTGGACTCTGGCATTCCCTCCAACTGCGGTTGTGAAAGATTTGATCCTTGCTCATGGACGTTTGAATCGAATTCCATTGGATGAAATCTGGATTAAGGATCAACATGATGATTTGGTCACACATGAAGTGCTCCTCTCACGATTCACGATCTTGTCCATTGGCCGATATGAAGATCTGTTTCCCATTGATGTGTCAGAACCCCACCCGGAGCCTTGTCCCATTCCGATGGATTTGGACTTGTGTACCCAGTTGGACTTGCCCTCAGATGATGTGAATGCCCACCCCTCACCTGATGTGCCTGATCCTGACCGGCATGCGACTTCCGTGACACCGGTGGACACCTTGCAGAACGTGACTGACCCTGCGGTCAAGAACCTGTTGGACTTGCAACCTTCCCAACTGACTGCCATGTTGCCCCCTTTGGTTGCTGATTTGGACTTGTGTGCCAGTATGCGTCGTCCTTTGGTGTCGGCTGAGACCCGCCTGCAACTGCTTTGCAAACAGGAACACGTGTGGGCTGATGATGAAATGTGGTGGCAACTTCTGGTTATTGCTGCCACGGAACCCCGTGACACAGCATTCCTGGATCCTCTGCTTGCGTTTGCATGGTTGACCTCCGGCACTGCTGAATTGGTTCATGCATGGGCTTCCCAACAACCCAAGTTCTCACGCATTGCCTCCGTTGTTTTGCATGATGGTCATTGGACTCCTTGCCTTTGGGTGTTGAAGCCTTCCGAAGTTGAAGTGATCATGTGGGAACATGCGGATACAGATGTCAATGACTTGAATCGACTTCATGGGTTGATCAGTCACGCTTTTGGACTTGCCCAGTTTGGCATTTCGTGCACACGTCGCCAGTTCGGAAGCCAATTGTGTGGAGCTGCAGCCATTGCCTTTTTGCAACACAGACTTGGTGGCTTGTCTTTGCCCTCCTGTCAAGACCAGTTGCAGCGTATCCATGATGGCCTCAGGGAAGATTTTCGCATGTCCCATGATGGATTTTTGCAAGTGCCACGACCTTGGTGCTGGGGTTCAGGTACACCGGATGTCATTTCCATTGTTGGTTCTTTACTGCAACAACATGGGGTCCCAAGTAATGCTGTCACAACTCGTGCGAAACTGCTGGTGCAAAGCTTAGGCTCAGATACAGGCCGTCCAAGGGGTCTCACCATGGAAGACGTTGAAGAGTCTTGCAAACCAACAGTCTCCTCCTTTCCAGCTGGTTCTCCCTGATGAGTTGAACGCTGTGGTGCAAGAACGTAAAGCCAAGAAGCAAAAGCCTGCCAAAGCTGCAGGCCCCAAGATTGCACCGTCCAAACCATTGGACATTGACCCTGCTAAGCTGACACTGGCCCAGAACACCTTCCAGATCGAAGCGGGACAGCCAGCCCCACAGCTCGCTGCGTCTCAGGTAGGTCCGTTGGCAGTTGGAGTCGCACTGGTTTCCTTTCAAGAAGCAATGCCTTTTCTGCAATCAGGACAGCTGCTCACAGCCAAGAGCCTTGCCTTGCTGGTGATCAATGGCCCCGATGAGCTACCAACCAAGCTGTCATGGGCGTCCATCCGTTTTGCGGCTTGTTGTTCTGTCAACCAACAACCAGTTTTGTTGCATGGTCATTTGGTCCAACTAGGAGCACAGCCGGTTGTCCCTGTTTTCACGAGTGAGAGCCCAGGTGTCCATGATGTCCCAGTCACATGTGCCCGTCTCACTGTTTTTGCTGACCAATGGCCCCAAGAATGGAACAGCTTGGAAGACCATCCATTTAAGCAAGTTCTGCAGGTCCTACCGCCACTGCAAACGTGTCGCAATGACCAGTGCCAGTGTGGACGTTGGCATCCGGATGGCATGGATGGAAACCAAGATGTGCTCTTAGATGTTTTTCGTCGCCAGTTTTTCACTGAAGCGGGTCGACCAACGAAGCATGCACAGGCCAACCATTTCAGTGTGCAGATCCGGTATCTCAAGAGCCAAGAGTATGCCCTGCTTCGATTGTCAGGTCAGAACGGTGTCTTTGTTGAGCCACGTGTCCCGGATGCATCCTCTCCGTCCGAAGAGTTTCAGGTCGTTTGGTTGCCTCAGGCTAGTTTTGCATCTGCCCAGCACCAACTGCAATGTGAACCGTTGGGACTTGGCCTTGCACGATCAGGTCGCAGGATGGGCATCAGAGTGGCAGCTAGGGACTTTCAGACCCTTTTTCAGAAGCTGAAACCGGAGGGCCAATTTTTGTCACCAGGCACCCGACAAACCTGGCATTGTGGTCCCTTTCCATTTGGAAGTGATCGGAAATCCATTGGCCGTGTTTTTGCTGACTGGAAGTGGCAAGCCAGGCCATTACAACCAGCACGACCCATTGCTGATGGTGTGATGTGGCTGGTGCAAAGCGTTGCAGATCCTCCGCAGACGGTGTTCAATATGCAACATGGCCAGGTGATGATCTCCAAGTGTGACTCAGTTCGAGCAGGCATGGCAGACAATGGTTTGGTGATTGGTCCCCAGAGTACCATTGAGCTCTGTGCCACCAACAGTGCAGTGGACCCATGGACTTTCCATGACCCGTGGCAACAAGCCCTGACTCAGGTCCCAGTCCACTCATCTGCACCGGTGACTTCTCACATCAAGGAGCTTGAAGAGCGCCTTGAACGAAGCATTTTGGAAAAGTTGCCCCTGGAGCGCATGGAAACCGATCACACTGAGGACCGCATTCAGATCATGGAGAAACAGCTCCAGCACCTGGCAAATCAGCACCAAGCTCTCGAGAGCACCGTTCATGAGCACCATCGCCAGAACTCTGCCCAAGTTCAGACCCTTCAGGCACAGATGCTCTCCCAAATGGAAGTACAGCGATCCCAAATGGCCAACATGTTTGAGGATCAAATGGGAGCCGTCCGTAAAAGCAGGTCACAAATTTATGAATTGATGCGTTTACTTTGCTTTGCGCGATTGCTAAAACCTGCATCGCGATAGGCTGAGCGATTGGTTGGCGATTGGTTATACGGCTACCACCCTATTACTACTACTACTACTACTACTACTACTAGTACTACTACTAGTACTACTACTAGTACTACTACTACTAGTACTAGTGCTAGTACTAGTACTAGTACTAGTACTAGTACTACTACTACTACTACTGCTACTACTACTGCTACTACTACTACTACTACTCGTACTACTTTTACTACTAGTACTGCTAGTACTACTAGTACTACTAGTACTACTAGTACTACTAGTACTACTACTACTAGTACTAGTACTACTACTACTACTACTACTACTACTACTACTACTACTACTACTACTACTACTATACTACTAGTACTACTACTACTACTACTACTACTACTACTACTACTACTACTACTACTACTACTACTACTACTACTACTACTACTTTCGAGACCAGAACCATGCCAATAATTGACATGGCCGCGCGGATTCCGCGCGCGCGGAATCCGCGCAATCCGCGCAGATGTTTTCAGGTCAGAAGGACATTCAAGCTAGCTCCAATTGAAAACAGGTCAGAAACAGGTCAGAAACAGGTCAGAAACACCAAAAAGGCAGCACTTGCCTAGCATCCCATCCATCCATCCATCCATCCATCCATCCATCCACCTCAGCTCTTATCATTGCTACTAATACTACTACTACTACTACTCCTGCTACTACTACTACTGCTACTACTACTGCTACTACTGCTACTACTACTACTACTACTCCTACTACTACTCCTACTCCTACTCCTACTCCTACTTCTACTCCTACTCCTACTCCTACTACTGGTATTACTGTGAGTTTTCCGGACCGTTTCCGGACCGCGCAATTTTCTTTTCTTCTCAAATATGAAAACGAATGCGTTCATGGGCGGATCCTTCTACTAGTGTTGCTACTACTCTCAGTATTACCACTAGCGCCGCTACCACTGCAACGCCGCTACCACTACTACACCGAGGAATTTTTGCCTTTGCTTTTCTCATTGACAGAAGTTCCACGGAAGGGTCAGAAATAGTCAGAAACCAGTCAGAAACCGGCCAAACGCAACCTCTCTCTCTCTCTCCCTTGCCTATTCCCTCACCCTCCTACCAGAACTCCTACGCCTACTCCTATTCCAATTTCCACTACCACTACTGCTAGTGCTACTGCTACTGCTAGTGCACTGTGAGTTTTCCGGACCGTTTCCGGACCGCACAAGCTTATTTTGCTCCCAAATTTGAAATCGAATGCGTTCACGCATGGATCCTTACTCTCATTACTAGATTTGCTACTACCCCCAGCACTACCACCACACCCGCTGCTACTGCACCACCCTGCACCACCACTACCACCACTACCACTAGTACACCTAGGAATTTCTGCTCTTGCTTTTAAATCCAATTGCACTCGTGTGAAGGGTCAGAAACGAGTCAGAAACCAGTCAGAAACCAGTCAGAAACCCGTCAGAAACCGGCCAAACGCAATCTCTCTCTCTCTCTCTCCTTGCCTATTCCCTCACCCTCCCATCAGAACTCCTACGCCTACTCCTATTGCAAATTCCACTACCACTACTGCTAGTGCTACTGCTACTGCTAGTCCTGCTGGTACTACTGTGAGTTTTCCGGACCGTTTCCGGACCGCGCAAGCTTATTTTGCTCCCAAATTTGAAATCGAATGCGTTCACGCATGGATCCTTACTCCCACTACTAGATTTGCTACTACTCTTAGTACTACCACCACACCCGCTGCTACTGCACCACCACTACCACTAGTACACCTAGGAATTTCTGCTCTTGCTTTTAAATCCAATTGACACGAGTTCCGCTGAAGGGTCAGAAACGAGTCAGAAACCAGTCAGAAACCCGTCAGAAACCGGTCAAACGCAACCATCTGTTTCCCCCTCCCTCCCTCTCTCTCTCTCTCTCTCTTTTCCCTCCCTCTCCCTTTCTTCCCTTGCCCTGCTACTAGAACTCCTTCTCCTATTCCTACTCCTACTCCTACTCTTACCCCTCCTACTATTACTACTACTACTACTACTACTACGACTACTACGACTAGTACGACTAGTACTACTAGTACTACTAGTACTACTAGTACTACTAGTACTACTAGTACTACTGCTGCTGGTACTACTGTGAGTTTTCCGGACCGTTTCCGGACCGCGCGAGCTTATTTTGTTCCCAAATTTGAAATCGAATGCGTTCACGCATGGATCCTCATTATATAATACATAACTTATATTTTATGTATATGATCTGATCAACGAAGAACAAACCCTTCCGCGATTGCTCACTGTGGTACCGCGGTTGCTACGCGATTGGCTGAGCGATTGAGGGCTGTCCGGGAAAAGGTATTTTGGACAACCCCCAAATGACAAAGCTGGAAACCATCTTATCCAAGAAGACCAGGTTCGAGTGAAACCTCGGTAGCCACTGCAAGTCCCGAGTGGTGAACCAGAAATGCAGTTTCCGGGCGCCAAGGTTTTTGATTTGGATTTTCATGTTCTTCAACTTGTTTTGGGGGTCCGATTGTCGCATTGGTGAGGCCAAAACCCCTGGCCCAACAGCCTCTGAACGCACATGGTCCCTAGGGGTATGTAATCCTTCTGGGTTACTGGGTAAAAGTGTTTTGCTTTCAGGCATCGATTCAGATGTCATCGCAGCAAGTGAGACCCATCTCACTGCTACCACACGTTCCATGCTTTTGACCAGCCTGAAGTCCCACAGCAGGTATTCACATGTGGTCACAGGTGCACTGTCTCAAGCACGCATCAACACCATTGATGCGGGCCAATACACTGGTGTTGCCACCATTGCACGAGTTCCTACACGCGCACTTTGCGCTGCATGGCCTCCAGATCTTTTTGAAACTGGGCGGGTTCAAATCACTGGATCCCTTATCAACAATGTTTGGGTCACTGGGGCGGTGATGTATGGCTATCCACAGGGTAAGATCCACCAAAATGCCCAACACAGGTCAATTGAGATTTTGGACTTCCTCATTGACCACATGACACAGGTTGCCACCGGACCCAGGTATCTTTGCGGAGACCTTAACCATGAAGTCGACCAACTTCCCAACCTGAGCCGGCTTATGGATTTGGGATGGAGGGAGGTACAAGACCTGGAATGCCAGGCTACCGGCAGATCACCCCACCCTACCTGTAAGGGATGCACTCGCAAGGACATGCTTTGGATTTCTCCAGAACTCATTGCGAGCTTTGCCACGGTTCATGTTGACCATGAGAGGTTTGCCGATCACTCTGTCTTGCGTGCTGAGTTTGCTGTTGATGGTGCCTTTAGTCACAGGTTCCTTTGGCCTATCCCTCACCCTGTCCCTTGGACTTCAGTTCCCCCTATGGACTTTCCTTTGGACTTTCAAACTGGACAATCCACGGCCTTATACCATGACCTTTGGCACTCAAGAGAGCAACAGGCTCGTACAGTCCTACGGCAACAGTGGACTCCCCAAATGCAGGGTCGGGGCCAAAGAACCCAACCCCTCAAGAGGAAAGGATGGGCTGCTCCTCCGCGTAAGGGCAGAACAAGTGACTTCCAGCCAACCTTCTATGGATACAATGTCCAACACAGCCGCTGGCTCCGGCAACTCCGCAGGCTCCACAACTACCACCGGTGGGCCCTGGCTCACCATGGAGTGGCTTCTGGTGATCTGCAGCTTCATGGTTCTTACCTCTGGCAAAGTATCTTGCGTGCCCCTGGATTTGGTGTCTCCTTCAGTTCTTGGTGGACTACCCGTCGGTGTGTTGGACTTCAGGACCCTGGTTTCATCCCTGTCTCGCCACCCCCTGCTCATGTTGGTTACATGCTGTGTGAAGCCTTTTTGGGTGAGATTCGTGCCTTTGAGCGTACTCTTGCGGCGGCTAAGATCACAGCCCAAGCCAATGCCCATAAAGCCAATCCCAACCTGATCTACCGCGACACCAAGCGGCCCATGCCGGAACCTGTCACAAGCCTTTTGATTTCCAAGAAGACAAGGGTTACTGAAGTAAGACCTGATGAAGGAGCCGTCCTCGTAGACTCGACTGTGGACTTTGATGCTGACGTGCCTGTGTTGGTTGACTCCTGCCCGGTTGGCTTGATCCATGCCACGGATGATGCCTTGTACCTGTCGGACCTGTCCTCTGTTGCTGTCGGTTCCCAAATCTGTCAGACACAGCCCATAGGCCGCCTTGAAGATGTTTTTGCAGCCTTCCATGATCAATGGAAACAGCGTTGGTGCCGACATGATCATGTGCCCTTTGACCGCTGGGATCAACTGATTGCGTTTGCTCGTGCTCACCTTCCCCATGGACTTGCTCCTGAGACCTGCATCACGCCTGACCTCCTCCGTGCAGAGGCAGCATCCAAAAAGCCTCAAGCTGCAACTGGGCTTGATGGTGTCAGCCGTGCCGACCTACTCCAGGTGGATGCCAATGTGTTGCAAAGCCTTTGTAACATCTATTGCAGGGCAGGGCAGGATGGGCGGTGGCCTGAACAAATTGTGACCGGCAGTGTGGCCTCGTTGGCCAAAAGGGAAGGGGCATGCCAGACCCAGGACTACAGGCCTATAACCGTTTTTTCCATGGTCTATAGGGTTTTCAGTTCCATCCAAGCAAGGGCCCTGCTGTCCCATGCCCACCACTGGTGCCATGCTGATATCTATGGGAACAGGAAACAACACCAGACCGCTCAACTCTGGCGGGTGCTTGTTACCAGCATTCAGCAAGCCTATGACCAGCAGGTGTGTTTGAGCGGGTTGACCGCTGACATCGAGAAGTGCTTCAATTGCCTCCCACGGCTCCCGATCGTGGCAGCAGCACTGCATGTGGGAACTCCTATGTCTGTTATGACTGCCTGGTGTGGAGCGTTGGCAACCATGTCACGGAGGTTCAAAGTACGTGACTCCTATAGTGATGGCTTTACCACCAGCACTGGGCTTGCGGAGGGCTGCGCTTTGAGCTGCTACGGCATGCTGTTGTTGGATGACATCATGCATCGGTACACTGCAGCCCAATACCCAATGCTTCGAGTTCTCAGCTTTGTGGACAACTGGGATTTCTTGACTTGGCATGCTGAGGCGGCGACCCAGCAACTTGATGCGTTGTTGGACTTTGCATCACTGACCGACTTGACAGTTGACCGTAAGAAGACCTTTGCTTGGTCCACTTCCCCTACGGTCCGCCATGCTCTCCGAACACAAGGGCTGACTGTGTTGCATGCTGCCAAGGACCTCGGTGCCCATGTCGCCTTCTCCCGCCAGCACACCAATCGGACTGTCACCCAACGATTGGAAGACCTAGGTCAGTTTTGGCCGAAGCTGCGCAGTAGCAAAGCGGGATACAAATCCAAACTCCGTGCCCTACGGACTGTTGCTTGGCCTCGCGGGCTTTTTGCAGTTGAGAGTGCACCAGTGAGTGATAGCACCTGGCTATCTATTCGAAGACAAGCCAACCATGCGCTGCAGATGGATAAACCAGGTGTCAACCCACTCCTTGTCCTTGGTTTGGTGGAAGCCTATGCCGACCCTGAGTTCCTTGCACTGATCCGTACGGTAGGGGAGACCCGCTTGAACTGCCCTGTGGACTTTTGGGCCAGTGACCTCTACCCCCTTGCTTCAGGTGCCATTGAAAGCCCACCGTCCTCACCAGCGGCGGTGCTGTTGATGCGTGCTCAGAAAGTTGGCATCACCGTTTTGCCTTGTGGAAAGAGGAAGGATGTTGTCGGGACTTTCCATCCAGCCACAATCAACTTCACAGAGCTCTGTCACCGACTCCAGCGGCAATGGAACCACTATGTTTCAGCCTCACTCAAACACCGGAGTGACTTTAATGGACTTCATGGGGTCGATACCACCCTCACCAGGAAAACCCTTGCTGCCCTGCCTCCTGATGAACAGAGTCTGTTGCGCCTTAGCTTGGCTGGTGGACTTTTTACCCAGAATGCGCATGCCCACTGGAACGAAGGCGATGGAGGTTGCAAGTGGTGTGGTTTGCCTGACTCCCTGTATCACCGTTACTATGAATGCTGCAACACGTTGGACTTGCGTGCCAAACATGCTCCGGATGTTGTTGCCAACCTTGGGTCCATCCCTAATGCCATGGCCTTACGCAGTTGGGCACTGTTGCCGCCCACTCACCTTCTTTGGCTCCGTCTGTTGGATTCCATCCCTAGTGCTGTACCGTCTTTGGCTGGGAGGTTCCGTGTCGGTGAGGTCAATGAGGTTTTTACTGATGGCTCTTGTCTGTGGCAGGCTGATCCTTGTCTGCGGTTGGCGTCTTGGGGTGCTGTCCTCGCCGGTCGTTTTTCATCGGATTGGTCCTTCCAGCATGGGGGCATTTTGGGTGCTGGGCCCGTTCCAGGCCTTTGCCAAACGGCGTACAGGGGTGAACTCTTTGCTTTGGCCTTCGTCCTCCACCATGCTGCTCTCAGTGGCTCCAGGGTAAAAATATACTGTGACTGTTTAGGGGTTGTTAATAGATACCACCTGCTCACCCAGGGAACAGTGCCTTTGAAATCAACTGCGGCAAGTGCCGACCTTTGGACCTGGATACTGGAATCAGTGGAACGGCTTGGCGCTGGAATGGTGGAGGTGGTCAAAATCCCTGCACACCGCAGACTGACCCAGGCTACGACGCGCCGTGAAGCCTGGTCCATCTGGCACAACAATATGGTGGACAATGTTGCCAAAGCAGCCAACATGGATCGTTCAACAGATTTTTGGCACAGGTGGAAACAACATGCGCAGATGACAGCAGCAGCACACACACTGCACAGGCAGATTTGTGCCTTGCATGTTGCCGTGGCGAAGCGAAGTGTTCAGGCTGATGCAGCAGTTACTCTGGATGAGGTTCCTCACCGTGCACCGAGGAACCTTAGAACTTTTGAGCAGCTTTTTCAGGTGGAGAATTGGAATGGTGAGCTGCCGATGAGTTTTTCCAAAGAGTATGGACATGGCATTGCCAATCGAGTGGCAACATGGTGGCGTGCTCGTACAGGGAGCCCCGAAGCTGGTGAAGTCAGATGGATCACCTTCGCTCATTTGTACGTTGATTACCAATTAACTTTTGGATGCCCCGGACCAGTCAAGCATGGTCAGCAATGGTTGGATGCCTTCACAAGGCCCTATTTGGACGTGGAGCGGCACCAGTTTTTGCACAGACTGAAATGGTTCAGGAGATGCTTGAAGGTGTTTTGGAAAGCTACTCATCAACAAGTGGGAATGGCTCAGTGCCGAGCCGAAGGCGAATCCATCCAGAGCTACGTTCAGTCAGCATCGGTGAAGTGGCACATGCCTAGCTGGATCGGTGCCGAGCATTGGCTGGCAACTGAGTGTTCTGGACCGTGCATTCGAGGCACGAAGGCGTTGCAGTCGCTGCCGCTTGTGAAACCACAGGCGCGCTATGCGCTGCCAAAGAGCGCGATCGATGCGTCTCACGGCATGGACCTTGCCTAGTGCGTGACTTCAAAGGCCTCGCTCCCCAACCAGAGCAGGTCGCGGCCGGAAACGTGTGGAAACGTGTGGTGGTTTCAAACATTTTTTATTTTCCATAATATATGGGATAATCCTTCCCATTGACTAATATTTTTCAGAGGGGTTGAAACCACCAACCAGTATAGTAATCACCAGAAATGGGAATTCAAACTTTAACACGTTATGCATTTCAAGCAGCAAAGGTGGGTGGTGAGATCACTTTCCTTCGATCATGTTCGATCCTTGCCGCAACCAGCGCCACGTTGAGTCGCGGAGAACCTCCTGACGGACCGCTGCAAGTCGAGGCCTCGCACTGTCCGCGTGAAACGTTACGCCTCGTCGTCGAGGGACATCAGCGCTTGCAATCCGATGCAGCGTTGGCACAACCATTATGGACAGTGCCGTTGCCGACATACTTGAATATAAGTTTGGTTCCTGCAATGCACCTGAACCAAATCCAACGGAAAAGCCTTGCAAAGACCAAAGTTGGTATATTCACTGGTATGCTGGTATGTCAGAAGTTCCGAGAAGATCCGAGAAGTGGATTTGTAAACTTCTGGTGCCTCAAAGTGCTAGAACCCCTTGCATTCACGGTATGCAAGGCGCGTGAACATCAGGACCGCTCGTCTCACCCTCGGGCATGGCCATTCGCCTCTAAGCGCCCGACTAATCCAATCTCTTCCTGGGTGGTCCACCCTTTGGTGTTGGGCACCTGTGGATCCTGTGATATCCTGTGGATCTTCAGAAAATCGCTGTAGATATGGATAGATCACAGCAACATACAGCAACTAGATACTGTTTCGACATAAACAGATCAACTGTCAGATGTGAGTCTGATAGAGTTCCCTATGGGGCCACTGATTTGATTTCTGATCAGCGTGACCAAATGGTTTTGATTTCTGGTTAATCTCACCTGCCCAGTTTAACATTTCTGGGATACATGTAACAGGTGCAAGGTGAATTGATCAAATATGATTAATTATGATCATATAAAATTTATAATATTATAAAACTAGTGTGGTTGCCCAACCCAACGCAAATCACAATCTCTGCACTCTTGTTCAAATCGTTGAATTCAGCTCCGGCGTGCGCTTGAGTTGTTCTGTTTCTCCCCAAGAACGAAAGACTGTGCACACTTAGTTTCTAAGCTTTGCTCAAGCGGCATTTGCCGTGGATACGGATTTACGATGATTTACTTCCGCAGGAACGTCTCGTCTGTTTTTTGTTCGTCAGAGATCATTCGACATGTCCGACATAGCTTTGTTTGAAAACAAACTATACTCCTTCCTTTCGACTGGTTGATCATCATTTTCCTGCTCCTGGGGAAGTAATCCCCCTCGAAAGCTACGCCGTTTCTCATTGATGCTGGCGACCTCTCCAGAGCGTCCGATGTCTGGAAGTCACGGCCGATGTCTGGAAGAGCTGCTCGACAACGATTGACGATCGATGATGGACGGCAATGGACAGCACACATATATTGCATTAGATAGTAAGAGAATGTAAGAGATCATTGTCCGACCATGACACATGTTACATATTCTTAATTATGTTTATATCATTTTATATCATGTTCTTGTGATCTCTTACAATCCAATGCAATCATATATGCAATGTATATGTGTAATCGTGATAAATTTTGGTGAATATATCCCCGCAGAAATTTGGCACATGGAGACACGGAGGCTACGGCCCTTTTCCAGCGTTTTTGTCAGCGTTTTTTTCCACCAAAAATTCCACCTATCCTATCAATCGGTCTATTCATGTTCTATCTAAATATCTAGATCTATATCTACCCCAATCTAATTCCCTCTTTTTATCTGTACTAGTACCACTTATATCCACTCGTACATGGTACAGTACTATGATAATGTGACTTAAACATACTTAAACTGGGTATCTAAGGTTTCAAGGAGCTTCTATTGTCAGTTTGCTGCTTCCTGAATGACAAAATGGACATGACTGGAGCGGTTGCAACCCGACGTTTGCTCTTACGATATCATCGTCGCTACTGGGCACTCCGAGGAGTGTGTTCAGCCGGAGGCGCTCAGCAACGGAGATAACTCCGTTCAGCTGGAAAAAGGGCGCCTCCGTTGAAAGGTGCTGTGGTCCGCTGTTGACCACGGATTTTCCGCATCTAGGAAACATCAGGAAGATCTGGTTCTTGGATGAGTCTCTTTTTGCACGCGGTTCCAGTTGATGCCACGATCTTGCCGTATATTGTTTTTGCCGTCACAATGACGAAAGAACTTAGAGGGGAGTTGTCCGAATCTGCCCCCGCAACCTGTGACACCTGACGTTACGTCGCGGTCAGTCTCCACCCTTCGCAGCAGAAGGCTTGGAGCTCTTCTGACAGAGGACTGAGCAATCACGATCCGATCTGCTTGATGGGAATTTGGGGTTTGATAAATACTTGGATTTTGTATGAATTTGTTAGTATATGACCCACAGGAAATGGTGAGGTTAAACCAACCATCATAAATCTGTCAACATGTTGCAAATGAACAAAGTCTTTGATCAACCCACGTGTTGCTCAGTGCTTTGTGGTGAACATCGGTGGCGGTGAAATGCTGGTGAGAAAAGACGAACTGCCGCATGGCTCAATTTGTCTTGTGACAACGTCTCAACGTCTATTCTGACTCTTGGTGACTAAGGCTTGCTCGTTCAGGAAATTGCATAATTATTTGATCCGGAGCAATTTGATTCTATCCAGCACAGATGCAAAATCACTAGATAATTGATGATAATTTGACAAGTGCATGTCAGAAGAAATGAAGACATGTCATTCATCAACCATTCTTAGTTTGTTTGTTTTTGTGTGATGACTTTGCATGATGGTCAAAAGGTATTATTTGTGAGAGTGTTCTCACGTTCTTTTGATTTCTTTTGCACTTGTTTTAGTTATGGTAGGCCTCTGTTTTCATTTTAATCTGCAGTGTTTGGGTTTTGGGCTTGATTGGTTCTGCGTTAGCTGTTCAGAGTACTGTCGCTTTCGATCCAATCTGATCTATATACTGTATGTTTGATCTATATAATTATCATCACATACATTTTTACATAAGTTATTTTTATAATTTCTTATATAATCTTATATATATATTATAATTGATTATAATCTATGTATATATATATTATAACGCGATATCCATAAATTATCGTTGTATATATCTTGTTTATGTGTTTCTTTCCCCTAGTTGCTGGTCTCCGTCTTGGACCTCCCCATTTGTTACGCGATTTTGCGGCGTCTACCGGCACGAAAGGGCGCAGAGCTGGCGAAGCAACGAGTCCATGAAATGGCAGCAGAGAAGAAGGCCATGGGTGATGGGATGTGATGGGTGATGGGTGAAATCAGAACCGGCATGGTGGAGATAGGCCATGGTGTAGTTGCACTTAGTGTTGGATGCTGATTACTGTATGGCCCTCCAAAGAATTTAGGTCTACTATGGGTACCAGGTCTGAGGAGCTCAGGATGATCCAACCCCCCCGACTACAAAGGTCGACCCCCCAGAACCACCAAACATTGGAAACACACTTTTCGGTCGCGCGACTTTTCTACTTTTTCGTGCGCGTTGCTCTTCTTTGTGCTGAATTCTGCTGATTTTTCTCTTCTTTGATCTTCTTTCTTCTGCTTCTCTTCTCGGATCTTCTTTCTTCTTCCTTTCTCATCTCGGACTCTTCCCACCTCTGCTGCTTCATTTGTCTATATTGTCAGAAATTTGACGTCTAAATTTCCATCGATCATGTGCAAACGTTGCCGTTAGCATAAGGACAAGCATTGACGTTCCGGTGTTCAGACTCTGTCGACCCCAGGGACACGCCATGATGGTGGAAGACGACCAGGAGTTGGACAACGCCGTGCCTTATCGAATCGTTTGCGAGGACGAAATCCACCGAATCCCCAGTTGGGGATGCGTTTTTTACCCAGAAATACCAGCAGAATACCGTATTCTCTCTGGAAACCAAACCAGCAGGCTTTGCTGGAGCATCCCCCATATACTTGGAGGATTTCCCATGATTTTCCCATGCATGCATATTTCGTTTGAACATGGCCGAAGACGGAGGGTATTGCCATATTTGGGACTATTTGGGTGGATGAACATCCATAGAAACCAACTAATTATTCGGGTGTGGTACCCAGAAATGGGATGATGGATCCTGAAATTGACCACCGTATGGCGTTTTTCGTGTTTTTCTTGGGGGATCTCAGTTGAACCATGATGTCATCCACTGTTGCCCCGTGCTTACTATCCGGTACAGCAACCAGTTTTTCCTGAAATCGCTAAAAATTGGATGGGACAATTTAGAGGAAACCCGATATTTATTTGGGGGCAAAAACATTGATTAACTGTCAGATTATCCTATTAAACTGTTGTGCATTTGTCGGATATTTTTTATACGGGAATCCAATGGGCACAGACAAATCTAACAAAACAATTCCTATTTTTTTCAGACAATCCCCAGATGAAATGAGATTTTAATTCCCTGTCTCAATCAACAAATTTAAGATCGTGCAGTGTCTTTCAATATGTTTTAAATTTATACTGTTCATAGCTGGAGACTGGGTTCGAATCAGTTTCTGCATGGTCACAACAAGCAGCGGCTAGCAGACTTTGGGGTTGACCGGTTGACCTGGTGAGTTTGTTTGAAAATATAGTGCCCCAAAATCCCATAGTTTATCATGGTTTATCGTCATATGCTCTATTAAATGGAAGGGGGTAAACCATGGTGGACTGTTGTTCATCAGGAGCTCTTTTTCACGACCTGTCTTCCTTTGATCAAACTGTGCAGTGAAATTGCCATGGCACTGCGCTGTATCAAACCCCTGCCTCGGTCTGAGTGGGCTTCATGGGGGCGTATTTGCTCACGGCCTTCCAAACCCACTTCCAGGCACATGTTTGTGTGAATCATAGAGATGTTGTGTGGCAAAAGTATAGGTGTGAGGTGTGATTTCAACTATGCTAACCTATTTTTCATGGAATTTTGTGTTTTTTTCGTTTGTTTTTGCTGCCTATGGATGCATTCAATCCTGCAGGTTGGGGTCGGTTCGGAGCCAATTCTGGCACACATTGGCCGGAGTTGCTGGAGCTGTTGGAGTTTGCTCGCGGCGTGGCCGGAGATGCCCCGTGTCACCCGTGTCAGGGAAGGCTGCGCCGGGATTTAGAGAATTGCTGACATTCTGGTTCCTCGGATTGCTACAGAAGTTTTTTTATTATCTTCTGACTTGTTTTTTCTTGTTTTTTCATGTTTTCATCCTCATTGCTTTAAGAGATCCATTGGTTAATCCACCGCGACTGGCGCCGCAAAAGGCCCCCCCAAGGTTCGGCCCAGAGATATTTACTGAACGGCAGCGGCTAAATGACATCGACTATCTTCGGGGTCGAAGCAAGATGTGGTACATGAGTGGCACAAAATATGACCAAACTGCCAAAGAATTCCTGCCGCTCTTGCAGATGTACGACCCATCAGATTTTTCACCAGAGGCGCTACAGGTAGATGAATCGGTCGAGCAGAATCTGGCCAAGGTTGTGTTGTTTGACCAGAACTTGGGCTGCAGATGTGCGTCTTAAAGTTGAGCAGCCACAAAAACAAGATCTGGGTTTGTCTGAAAATGGGGTACCCCTAAGTCCACTGGTGAATCACCATGTCACAATATTTCACCCATCAACAAACATAAAAAATGGATAATAATGGAGTGCAATGGGGGAATACCATGGAATACCACCCATTTCTGGACAGGCCCCGTGTTTTTTGTATTGTCGAGCATTGTCGAGATCGGCAAGACCACCCACCTTTTGCGGCTTTGTCGAGATGGGGGTTGTGCTGATGTCAATTGAGGGGGACGGATTCATAAACCACAACCACAACCACAACCTTGATTGAAAGATATTAAAACATATCCGCCGGGGTCCATCATATCCCATCTAGAACTGGTTTAAGATACATTGCCAGGAAATTCTGATCAATGACTACATTCATATCCAGCTAGACTTCTCCCAGTGGATTAAGGTTACTATCATCGTCTATCAAAAATCAGGTCGGGATTTTGTGTTGCGCCAAGAATGTTTGAGGATTCCTCGCAATGCCTACCGTGGCACCGCAGAAGCCTTTCGTTTTGATGAGGCGGCATGACTCTTGCCTTAGCAAAGGACATCCAGCTGCAGTCCTTTTGAATAGAACATCAGAACATCATAGAATATCTAAAACTAGCTAAAACTCCGAAAAAAGAAGGAATGGGAACGGGAGATAAAGTTTTGCTTGGCGCGTTGGGGCCGCACAATCTCAGGTCCATCAGGGATGCGTACTGTAAGCGTCAAGCTCTCACAAACGATGGTACTGGGCGTAGGCATTTGGCAGATGCAAGTTTCAAGATACAGCATTAAGAACTAGTTTTAACTATATGATATATTATACTATATGACTGGCCTAGCATGTTTGAAGCACGCGAAGAGCACGCACACTTTTCTCTTGGCACTCAATGGGCTGTGGGTCCAAGTCACCATATCAGATGGGTATGTTAACAGCCCCTTCTCGACTCTCCTGTCAACTTAGGATTAATTATACCCAAAGCGAGTCTATTCCAAGGTGTTGTGAGTGATGCTCTTCTGCAGAGTAGCTTTGCAAGTACTTGCTCTGCGGCTGAACTCCTATGTGCAGTTCAGCCACTTGCCCATGCAGAAGGCCCTGGTGATAGTCGAATCCAGCTTGGAATCCGCATCCTGCAAGAAAACATGGGGCGCTATCCTGAGGAGGCTTCAAAGATGATTTTCCAGGCTCGCAACCTAGGACCTCTATTAGACCATATACGAGGCTACAGAGAAAGGAGAAGACTGACCACACAACCATGAAATCTAGAATATATTGGTCCTTCCTCCCTTTCATAAATCTTCAGACTTTAAGCTTCTTATTTTCTGGAATATCATCCAATTTCCTTGCTTTCGAAGTCCTCAAACCTCTGAATTCATACGGATTCAACCAACCCCCAAAGGATCCCAAAGGTAGCCCCGAAGAACTGCTATGAACTGCTTAGGGCTTATGAACCACCAACCCCCGAAGGGCCAGCCGGGTCAGCTTTGCGGGGGGTGAATCACGGTGGATCCCAGTGAAATCGTGAGGCGATTTTGTCTCACTACGCGCATGGTGCGGTCCTACGTCGCTTCGGGCGATACCCTCATCGCAACGTGCAGCTGGGGCGCGAGAGCACGCCTGAGGAGATGGAGATTGGGATAGTGATTGGGATAGTTACGGATAGTTGCGGATAGTTACGGATAGTTGATGTGTCAGCCCCATACATTCCCATACCCTACAGATTCCGCAATTTCATACAGCCGTGGCAGTCAGGCAGTCTCAAGTCTCCCAAGCCTGGAAGATAATTTGATGGGGACTCAATGTAAGCATTGCCAGATTGGCCTTTGAGATCTCTTGATGTTTGAAGACAACTACAGATCAACATGGTAGGTCTTAAAATGTGCAGTAGAATTCTGCTCCTATTCCACTCATTTTGGGCATATTCCACTCTCATATTCCACTCATTTGGACAGCCACAATCATCACTGCTTGATCTCACTCGCAGGAACTCTCATGGTTGAACGCAGCGGACTGCCCTGGATGGGCACGAAGCCAGATGAAGCCAGAAAAAGCCAACAATCCTGTGCCGGCCGTGAGTCAACAATCTGTTGCACTTTGAGGTACTCTGATAGACACTCTGATAGATACTCTGATAGATACTACTTACAACTACCAGATTCAGAAGGTTGGAATGAATCTACTTCTGAGACCTCACGCTGACTGCAGTTGCAGCCTCCACCCTGCAAACTTCTTGTGTCGTGACATGTGCAGACACGTGGTCGGCAGGATGGTTCACTTCACAGCAAGTCATTTGCTCACACCGACAAGGGCATGTGCCCACCCGTGTCGCGTGACCGTTGTGATTGAACTGCCACCTTGTAGACGTTTGATCTCAGGTTCCAGTGAAAACAACAAGCTGAGATCCGCTGAGTGGTTTGGGGGAATCTCAAGGACTGCCAAATGTCAACCTTCGTGCAAACGGCAGAGGTACTTCATGGGTATGACCCTCATGAACTACAAGGCTGTCCAAAGACCCAGAGCCAAAGTGCTGGCGATGTGAAGGTTTTGAAGCAGCATCTTCCACTGAAACCAATCTAGACTGTTGGTGGTTTGGCAACCGCAAAGGTGGCATTATCAAGAATTATCCAAAATTAAGGCATAACATGGCATGGCATAACATTTGAGTCTGAAGAGCGTCATCTAAGGCGCCTTCCAATCAACCTTGGATTGAGTTGAGGCGGGCATTGTGTCCAGGTTCTGTGACACTGTGTCCAGGGTGTACACTCACTGCAAGACTGAAAGGTGTGTTTTTTTTTTTTACCTCTGCCGCAGTCGGCAACTGGTTAGGTCTTATCTTTTTAGGGTGTTCTGATACTTTCTTATCATATTATATCATATATTTATATATATTTATCATATCAGATCTTTTCCGCAGCAATTTTGTCATGCCGCGAAGCTGCAAAACAGTTCATGTTACTTTTGCGGCCATCTCACCATGGCTTTCATGGCTTCCATGGCTTTGTTTTTTGTCTTTCCTATGTCCAGTGGCTTCCAAGCCACCGACCATGAAGGCGGTCAGCTACGGCCCCGTGCCCCTGAAAGAGCCGGGCGCGGGCGCGGGCTTGTTGGCACAAGACGATTGGATGGTTGAGGCGGCAAAGCCCATGTGGGGCCTGCGGGGTCGAGATGACTTGGGCATCGTCCGCCAACTGGGAGCCAATACGGTCAGACTCTATGGAAACAATCCGAAACTTGAGCTTGTAAGTTTTCAGTATTTGTCAGTTTTCATGTAAGTTGTTGATCCCATTTTTGAATTTGACGAAGTTGTTGATTTTACTCCACCTCATGGCCTACTTGAAAGTTTTCCGTTCGCAGTGTCAAGGAACGAAAGTCATACGAGCTTTTTGGATGAGGCTCATGAAAAGGGCCTGAAAGTGGTGCCCGGCATGAGTGATTTCCCATATACGCAGATGCTTCCCGGAAGTTGTATCGAAACAGACTTCGATTGTTTCAATCAGAGCCGCGATTCATACACATTGAACCTTCAAACAGGATTCCTCACGGAATTCCAGGAGTATCATCCAGCACTTTCATATTTTATCCTGATCAACGAGCCAGACCTGAAGATGCCCTCAACCACCACCACGGAACAAGGACAACCTCAACGGATGGCCAAAGCCATAGTCAGTGCCTTCGATGGCTTGTTGGAAGCCGAAAAACTGGCAAATGTCACTGGAGACTTGGTTCCAACATGATCATCGATCATCCCTCACAGAAATCATCTGATTGGTGCTTTGGAACATGGCTGGATGGCTGGATGAATTTTTCCCCAATAGTTGGGATGGTGATCCAATCTGACTTGAGCATATTCAACACAGGGGGGTAGGTATACCACCAACCAGTCATCAATAGTGTCAACCTCGGATTTTTATACATCCCTGGTTACCATTGCAACACTGTTTTGGGGGGTGTACCAGTGTACCTCCCAATCAAGAAGCCAGGGTTTATTCATCTAGGTTGACATTACAAAATACCCCACCGACCCTTTGTTTAGAATCTGAGGGGTCTGCAAAATATCAGGGGGGTGGGATTGCTTACAAGCGGTTGGTGGCTTCAAGTAGCTTTTGACTTTCAATCCTGATTTAGGAAGAGGGATTTACTGTAATCCAGCTGAACCACGCTGAAGCAATAGTTAGCTGGGTTTGTCTGAAATTTAATTGACTGCATTTCCATCCACTGCTTAATCATCATTATATATCATTATCCCCATGAAGTTTGCCATTTTGGAGGTGATATCATCCATCGTATCCATCATTTTCAGCACTGCAGTGGTGTGTTTCGTGCCATCTGCCTAGCCAGGAGATTTGATCAACATCACAGCGACCTTCTCCTATGCAATTTGCCTGGTGTGCGATGAGTTCAGCAACTTGCCTGCCTTGGGCCAAATGGCCACCCTGGTGGATGCAATGCTGAATCCAGAGTCCTTTGGCTATGAGCCCAAGAATAATATCACGGAAGCCTTTCTGAATCGCTGGGTGCACAGTTTCAACACCAACAACCCTGCGCGTGATTTGAAAAGCCAGTTCTTTGATCATTACCCAGACTCTTTTGGCTACACCCCAGTCTTTGTGGCAGAGTACCACAGTGTGATTTTGCAGTACCTGGACATCACGTTGGAAGATGACTTGGCCCACATCATGGAGTTGGAGAAGAACTCTGAGGTGTTCTTTGGCATCTCCTTTTTTCAGTACCAGGTGGCGTACTGGAAAGGTGGAAGTGAGATGGACTTTGGGCTGTTTGGCTTGGGGAACTATCTCATTGCAGAGATGCTTTACTATGGCGAGACTTTCAAAATTTGGTGCTTGGAACCTCAAGTCTCCCACTCCACACCAGGGTCAAGCTTGCCCCAGGTTCTGACCGGGGCCTTTGCAGGTCCTGGAATAGACTATGAATATCTTTGCCAGCCTAATCCACATGTGGTGTCTCTTTCCCAAGATGGTTTTGGAGCCATCGCTTCCCAGGGTCCTGAGCGTCTGGCCATTTTCATCAAGCGAGTGGTCGAGCATCTTGGGGCAGAAGTCGTTGATCAGAGTGGCCTCAAGTCTTTTGCTGCGCAATTTCTGACCGATTCTGGAAAGACCTGGGGGGATCTTGTCACGGCAATCTCTTTTAAGCCTTTCTGGACAAGTTTCAGCTCCGACGCTGCCTGTGTGGCCGACCGCACAGCGGATGCTCAACAGGTAGGTGCAGCGATATCTTGGCTGTGTGGCCAAGAGTTACCTTCAGGGCTCACATGCAACGTGCCAAAGTCATGCACAGAGGATGCGTTCACAACAGCAGATTGGCTGTTCAGCCGTTGGTACAAGAAACAGGTCGACAGGGACCCTTTGCAAGACTGCAACTTTGGGGGCGCGGCCATCTTTGCCAGTCCGGCAGTCAGATCTTTCTCGGCCTGTGTGGTGAGAACGCAGCTGCGGGGATCTGTATAGGCAGTACAGTTGTAGACCCAATGTGGTCCTTGGTTCCACCGCACCGGATTTGGTCGTGGGGAGACCAAGAGAATTGCACATGGAGATCCTTTGTGATCTTTTGGGTGAGAATGCTGCATGTCAATGTAAAGCTTTACAGGATCCACCAGGGTTTCCCTGACAAATTCATTTAGGGTTTGGCCAAGTAAGAGCTTGACCTGAAGAGGACCCTGAATTTGCTAATTGACTATAGGACCTGCATGATTGTTCCAAAAGGATTTGTAGCTGATTTTGTCAAGCAATGCCATGTGTAAACTGGGCTTGTTCTCGTTAAGGGCATGTTGCATTGCCTAAACAAACAATTTGCCCTGGTAAATGTTTGCCATGTTAGTTAAACTGTTAAATGCTTGATGCCACTCTTAAGATCAGTTTGTTTGCGGAATATTGTTGTAACACCGACTAGCCCATTGCTGCTTGACCCAGAGCGGAATCAGACTTTTTGCATATCTGCCTCTGTCAAGTTGCAGCTAATCTCAAATCTGTGTTGATCATTATGATCGCATAATAATGTTCTCCTATTCTATGATAAATCATGATAAAGTCCAATAATTTCGAACAATACATAAACATACACTGGTTTTCCATGGTTTTCCCATGTTTTCCCATAGGCATGGTGTTCCTGTAAGTTTTCCCTTACGCCAAACCAATGGCAGTCCGTTGGTCCGCTTGCTGCGAGGCATCCACAAAAGCTGCGTTGGTCACAAGGCTGCGCCGTGCTGCGACTGAAGGCGCCCAGAGTTGTTTTGCACCAAGAAGCCTCAAAATTTATGATAGTTTTTGAATGTTATTGATAGTTTATGAATCTTTATGATATATAGATATACGTATATGTATATATATAGTTTATGATAGGTTATGAGAATTTGAATGAGACATGATAACCTATGACTATCATAAACTATCATAATATCATTTACTATTATAATGTCAAGTTAGGATTAATAAACCCTGCGGTAATAATCAACCCCCTCTGCCCCCCCAAAAAAATGTAATTTAAAAAAGGGTGGTCCCCCAAGATTAATAAATCCCCCCGATTAAAAAACCACCAGTGCTGAAATCCATTTTTTATCCAACAAATTTTATTTCCAATTCTATTTATTTCATAATTATGTTTTTACATTTTTTTAATCATCATTGTTATACTTAAGGTTTAAGTTGATCATTGAACATTTCAAAAAAACAACTATTCCCCAAATGATCGATTTCTAATTAAAATCTCTATAAAATCATCAGTTCGGATAGCTCCCAAAGGGTACCCCTCATGAGCCCATGTCCCCCATTAATAATAACCAGGGTTTGCCCCTGATTAATCAACCACCTTTCTGAACCATGAGATTTTAACATTTTTAACAAATCCAATAGAATTCTATTAAGATCTAATTGACTCAAGCCATATCCAAATTTTTATGGTTCAGAGTTGCTTGTTATTAAGGGGGGTTTAAGAAACTGACCTACAAGGTAGAGTTCTGACCTTCTGGGGGGCGGGCGGGGTGATTAATCCGATGTTGGCATTAATGGTGATGTTTATATGATACCCTCTGGTAAACTAACAGTTTGCTATTGAAAATGGCCCAGTCGAAATAGTGGATTTTCCCGTGAAAAATGGTGGATCTTTCCAGTTCGCTATGTTAAATTACCAGAGGGTAATCATTATCATCCATCAAGCTGCCGAAACTTTCCTAGTTGGACACAGGCCAGCCAGGCCGCCCAGGCCAGGCTTCAACGGTTTTGCCAGGTTTTTCTGCCTGAGATCCGTGGAGCACAAGACCTGGAGGCCTGTTACAAAGATGATGGGAATGTTCGGAATGGTATCAGTTTTATGTTGCAAATTATGTACATCAACGAGATATATATATATCATATATATATATCATATATATATATTATATATATTGATATTATATATATGTATATATAAGCGTATTGCAATGCTAGACTATAATATAATGTTATATTATATCAATTGTATATATATAATAATGTATCATATCGTTGAACTTGTAGCACTCTCACACTCTCCTGTGATTTTGCTGCACGTTGGTAGTGTTCTGCGACTTGTCCCACTTGTTCCATCTTTCCCTGCGGATTGCTCAATTAATTGCTTCATGGGCTCCCAACATGGGATTGTCTCAAGATTTGGGAGTTTTTCAATTCTTTGCATGGCTGGACGTGAGAATGATCTAAAATTTGCCACCATGATGATACGCGGTGCTCTGGTCTCAAGCTTGCCAAGTAATCTTGAGTGCAGGGCATTGAAGTTTCGGAATCTTGAGCTTGCACCCAACTTTTCAGGCGAAGTGTATCACAGTCAATGTCAAGTCAGCATGGCATCATGGGCAGCAGCAGCACAGGTTCAGGTCCCTGAACATTAGCGCGTTGGCCAGCAGTTTCGGTTGCTGATTGGCTGGGAATGATTGGGTTACCATGGGTTGCCGGTGGTTTCAACAAGCAGCCGGTCGAAGCAGAGAGGTTGACCTCAGATCGGGCGGATGCGCGGTCGCTAAGGCCGCGTGGATTTTTTTCTCAGGAGCCTGGCGTTGAAGTTTCGTGTTTCACTTCCTTGTTAATGCAGAGAGTGACTTGGGGTATTTCTTCAACTTATCCAATCGGGATCCATGATGTGCAGGTTTCCATCATCCATTTTGATACGATGTTCATGGATTTTCCATTACAAATTTTATAAACCATCCAGCTATTGGGGTGCCCCCATGACTATGGAAACCCCCACTGTATGTACAAGTTTCAGTCCTGCAGTGACATGGCACCTAAACTCAGAGTCCCCAGGACGTTGCCATGGAAGCAAAGCTGCGCCCATTGGTGTTGGGAGACTTAAAAGGTTGACTTTGTCAGAGTCGAGAGGGGTTAACTCGCAACGAATGCGTGCAAACGGGCCAAACGGGCCAAACATCATGTTTGAAATCTGCTACTTTGACTTTGACTTTGACCCACCATGAAATCAGTGATGTTTTCAGGTCTGTTATCAGCATGCCATAGTATGCCGTAGTTACTATAGTCATGTCATAGTTCTGTGGTTAAACCTGCACCGGAGTTTGCAGGCTTGGCCAATCTTGGCCGTCGAGCTGCGTTTCTTTTTTCACTGAGGCGCCTAGATGTCTTTGGCAGGCATCTCAGACAAAGTCCTGCCTCAGGCGCTGTGTAACTGGGGATCCAAGGATGAAGACACGGAACGAAAGCCTACAAGAATAGCTTATGTATTAAGGAATTAAGGCATATATATATATATATTATATACATGTATATGTATGTAACAAGTACTATATTATTATATAATTGATATTCTATGATTAGTATTGACGAATGATATGTGTAAGAATGATGATGTATAGTATATACGCAGATATCTGCAGCATCCTGCAGTGAAGGACAAACTCGCAGTGCATGAGTTGTGAATGGGCATCAACAGCTCGGGCTGCATGTTCTGCTTCTCAGTGGTACGTGGCCATCCGATTTGACAGTTGTTTAACTCTCCGTGAATCTGGTGTAGCAATTGCTTATGATTTGAAATATTGTTTTCTACACAGGAAGTCCTCATATTTGGATAGATATAAAATGATATAAACGGTGGGTACTTGGGTACATGGGAAGGTGCAGCTTGGCCATTTTTCAATAGTGACCGGTCAGGAGAAGAGCTGAGCCTGGTGAAGGCGGCGAAAGCCCAAGATGTGGCAAAGTGTGAAGAGGCCCTGGCGAAGGGCGCAGATGTCCATGCGAGAGATCAGGCGGAGATGGGGTTGCTTTCGTGTGAAATATGGTAGTTTAAGGGAATTTAACCAACCAAAAATTGTTATTTTATGGGAATTAATTAGTGGGTTTTTACCAACCAAACATGGCGACCCCACGGGAACCAGCGGGATTTCACCTATTGAGCAGTGGCTGCTAGACCAGTATATTGGGGGATTATCACAATCCATGAACGGGGAATCCCGACAGTATGAACCAACCAGTACAAGCTGTGACTGGCTCGAGAGGCCTCCACGTGGCCACAGCTGGGTGGTCACCAGGGACCAACAAACTTCTTGGGCTTGAGATTTGACCACCACTGATATTCATCTCAAATCTTGATTCACCCCATTGGGGGGCCCCCAACAAAAAATTGTGGTTCCTGGTGACAACCTTACTTGTTGGAAATGGCATCCAAAGTTATGAGTGACAAAAATGATGACATCAAGACGTACATGTTGGGTTGCGGGATCAAAGAAGCTTTGATGACCAAAGGTTTTCTAGCTCATGTGCATGAGGTCAACAGAGGTCAGGTGGATCTTAGGTTGCCAAATGGAGAGCACCGCATCCTTTTGTTGGATTTATCACATGTCCCAACCACTGTAGCCTCATCCAAATTGCAGCGATGGCAGAAACTGCTGAACAGATGCCAGAGGACATCAGCAACCATTCGGTTCTTGAACGCTAGGTGGTTATCCGGAAATCAATGGGTGGCAGATGAGTCCACTATCCTGCTTGAGCAAGCCATGTACATCCACGGAAGTGACATCAAGTTGTGGGAATGGTTTTCTGGGGCTTTTGGAGGATGGAGTAGAGCTGCAGCATTTCTTCAAGACCAAGGATTTCCAATTTCGGTTGTGGGGGCATCGGACATTGACCCACATTCAACGCAAATCTGGAATATGAATCGAAAACTCATCAACAAAAAGGAAGTAGTAGATGCACAGATCATGGACGTAAGAGACATCGAACACTGGGAGAAGGTAATGGAAGCAGAAACCAATTGCGTCACCCTTTCATCAAGTTGCAAATCATTTTCTTTGGCGGGACTCAAGAAAGGGTGGCAATCAGAAGATGGACAGACGCTTGCATGTGCTTTGCTGCTGGCGGCCAAACATGGTTTCAGATGCATTCTATTGGAGAACGTGGCAAATTTGAAACATGACCCAAAGTTGTATCAAATTCTCACCGCAGTCCTTGATTTCTGTGGCCTTGAGATTGCATACGAGGGAGTCATTTCCATGACAGGCATTCACCCAGTTGAAAGGACCAGACTGATCATGGTTGTCAAACAGAAACATGATGAAGAAGTGCAAGAATCTGAAAGCAATTTCATGAGTCATTATGAACAAAAGGCTGGAATTTCACTTTGGGAAACGAAGCGATGGATGACACTGTCAGAGGAACTCATGTATGATTTGATTCTGGATGATCAAACGATTGAGAAGTACGCCAAGCAGTCGTCCATGACATATGCCATGCGTCAAAAAGTTCAAGTTTGGAATCGGGTATCAGCACTTTTTGCAAGAGCCATCACTTCGAATATGGCGATGCCAGCTGGCACAATGATGGCAGGATACAATCACCAACACGTCATCGCTGAGACCACCGGATCAAATCAAATCTTGGGAAGTCTTCGACATGTCAAGGATTTGACCTTTCGGTTTGTTCATCCTATTGAGGTTGTCCTTGCCATGGGTTCTGTTTTCGGAATTGTGCTTCCTAGGAATATCCGGCTCAGCATGAATGGTGTTGGAAACTGTATTTCCGAAATGCATGCGCTGATTGGACTTGCAACGGGTTTCAAACTGTGGAAACGCCTTTTTCCCAAGGTTGGTCAATTTCAGGTTCGTGATTTGTTGAAACTTCATTTTGATTGCTGTTTGGGTGTTGATTCGGTTCATGTTGAAACTACTGATGAACAAGTGTGCATGATTCCAATCAGCAAAATCCCCCTCAGCGATGTACAGAACAGCCGTGAATCCCATTGCCTCCAAACCCAAAGGGTGGATGGCAACGCATCCGAGCCAACCAATGGCAACCATGCATCCGAGGTGCGATCATGTCATGAAACGCTGAACCCACCCCAAACAGTACCCGACATCCGTGCATCCGAAAGCATCCGAAAGCATCCGAAAGCATCCGAAAGCATCCGTGCATCCGGTGCCAAATTGCATCCGCCCAACCGCAGAGTCCCATGGTTTTGGCAACGCATCCGAGCCAACCAATGGCAACCATGCATCCGAGGTACGATCATGTCATGAAACGCTGAACCCACCCCAGCCAGTACCCGACATCCGTGCATCCGAAAGCATCCGAAAGCATCCGAAAGCATCCGTGCATCCGGTGCCAAATTGCATCCGCCCAACCGCAGTGTCCCAGGGTTTTGGCAACGCATCCGAGCCAACCAATGGCAACCATGCATCCGAGGTGCGATCATGTCCTGAAACGCTGAACCCACCCCAACCAGTACCTGACATCCGTGCATCCGAAAGCATCCGAAAGCATCCGAAAGCATCCGAAAGCATCCGAAAGCATCCGAAAGCATCCGAAAGCATCCGAAAGCATCCGTGCATCCGGTGCCAAATTGCATCCGCCCAACCGCAGAGTCCCAGGGTTTTGGATGTCCAAATGGGGATAATGGGGAAATAAATAGATGGGATGATAATCGTACCGCATTGCATGATGAAGTGAGTATTGACCAAAACGAGAGAAACAGAGAAATTTCCGAAGAGGTACCACCAACCATTCCGGACAGCCAAGATGAAACAACGAGGCCAAGCACAGCGATCACAATTGCTGATGATGACCAAGAAAATATCAATTGCTGCAGGATCACCACGGTTGGAGAAGCGAAGATTGACCCGCCTTTTGCATGCATGTGCTATCCGACAACCCAGGTTTCAGAACTTGTTGCGGCCGAAAATGCCTTAAATATGGATTCAGAGGTGGTTGGAGTCTTTGGAGATGATGATGTGCCATTGACAGAAGATGGAACTCTCAAAGATACCAACATCATTGTTTCACGTGTTCCAAAAAGAAAAACACAGAACATCCCAGGAATTGCAGTGTGCTTTGATGGAGGTGTAATCCAAGTGAACTCTGAACCGTGCAACAGATTGAATGAATGGACCTTCGAAAATCAACCCTTAGAATCCATTGAATGGGCAAATGAAAATGGACAGACGTTTTTCCCAGGAGACATGATCGGATTCACAATTAGGGTTTAGGGTTGAGGGTCAACATGTGTCACAACGGCTCACGACTTTGGATGGCCCCTAGTGAAAAGGTTTGGACAAATATACCTAGTGAGGGTTCATGGCAGAACTGCAAAAGGATCATGGATCAAGCATGCTGCGCATGAAACGGTTGGAAGTTTACTTCATGCCGAACAAGTCCTCACCGGCCCCAGTGACAGAATCTCGCATGCACATGACAGATTTGCAAATGAGATAAACCATGAAACGAAGCTCAAAACACTTGAAATTGTGGTAGTCCATAGCCACCCAAATGACCAGAAAATCCGAATCAAAATCAAGCAGCAAGAAAACCAAAGGACCTTTCAGGTGTGCCGAGGTACAAGACTGTGTGCATTCCTACATTGCAAAAGCGATGAGTGCATTGTAGACCAGCAAGGATTTGAAGTCCCACCAGACCTGCCTATCTTTGCCAATAGCACATTCATGATCCAGCCGAAACAGACGCAGGAAGACGATCCAATGACGCCCACAGAACCCTTTTCAGTTGTAGAAGGCCCGGAATGTGATGCGAACCAAGGTCCCCGGGAGATCAGTAGAATTGTGGAAAGAATCACAAACAACATCCGAGACGGCCTGAGCAGAATCAACAATTTGCCACACCAAGATGACCCACTAGCAGCAGCCAAGCGGAGGCTAGATTTGCTGTGCCTGATGGGACCGGCCATTGGAGATGATGAGATGGCTTTTCATGTGTCTGCGATCCAACAAGCTGCACAAGAACCATTTGCTTTGGTGCTATGGGATAGTATTGCAGAACGCTGGAACAGAGATCAGGCGTCATCTTGCACAGACTTGTTTCATGATAGCCACAGAAAGTCACTCGTGTGTTGGATTCATGCGCATTGGGTGCCGGTTATCTTTGAGAACCGTCATGACCAAATCGTGATTGAATACATCAATTCGACAGCCTTGACTGAGTCACAAGTCCGAAGCCTGTGTGAACTGTGCAACTGCCGCTCAGCCCATGCCAGTTGGATTTTCCATGAAAGTGCCCAGGGATGGTGTGGTTTCGAGGCATTGGCTTGGATTTGTGCCAAACTCCAAACTGCACTTGCCCCGATGTACAATCAAGAAAAACAAGACATTCTCCATGACATGAGTCAGATAGTTGAGCAAGAAAATTTCACCTCCTACTGCCAAAGAACAGAAGGATTCAACGAGCAGATGTCCATTTGCCTGACCATGAGACTCAGGTTTATCCGAAGTGTGTTCGTGCGCCCAACAATTGCCACAATGCATGGGTTTGGAACAGATGAGCCAAAACCCAATTTGAAGCTGGCAGGAAAACTTGCGGCAATACTGATTGGACATGGGCATGGTGACCAAGAATCCATCAGAGTCTCACATGAGTTGGCAGACAGACATGCATCACAGGCAAGAAGTATCCCAACTATGAAGGATGCCAGAGCATATGCAACCATTCTGGAGCTGACTGTGCAACATGGGATACAAATCAGTACACTCACCAAAACGCAAGCAGTTGCCAAGCTGCAGAAGTTCTTCCGGTTGAAGTATGAGAAGCGTCGAAATGCCACCAGAACACCCAGGGAAGTTGACTTGTGTCAAGTTGAATTTATCCCGCAAACATGGATGTTTCAAAATGGAGAGTTTGTCATGCCTTGCCCGACATGGACAGTAGGATCAAAAGGACTGTCAATTGCATCCGTTGAGGAAATCCAGCCGTATCTTGATCAGAAACGACTGCTCACGACAGATTCCAACTCAGTGTTGCTGCCCAAGCCTGTTGAAGTAAATGACCCTTTCAAAATTGAGGCACATGAAGTTCCTGTCAAGGACCCGTACGGAAATCGAGCGATCATCAGGCTGTGGATAGTGCACTTAGGTCAAAAGCCCATTGTCAGAGCACCCAAAACCAATGGGGATGTCCAATTGACTGATATGTCCACACTTGTGATTTCAGTCGTGAAAGATCAAGTAGATCCAACAACCTGGGACTCAATTGTTGGTGCACCAGCAAAAACCGTGATCAGACTTCTAGTGCAAGACCAGAAGAACATGGAGATCCATCAGGTGTGGTCACGACGTTGGACATCGAAAGGCAGGATGGTCGACGCCAAAATGGCTGACAGTTTTTCCATGCTCATCACAATCCCGAAATCAGACACAAATGAATGGCTTGTTCTTTCTGGAGTCGGGGGACAACCAGTCTATGTGTCACCCAAAGTTGCCAAAGATGAACAGCTTCCTGAAGATCAATTTCGTGTGATTTGGTTGGGGAAGCAGAAGACGGATGCACTGGCTCACATCGGAACAATCGCAGACCACAAAGGAATCGTCTTCAAATGGCCGTCAAGCTTTGGACTACGTGTTGATAGCAAGAGATTCCCAACTGCATGGAAGGAACTCAAGGAAAATGATGATGTACCGAGCCAAGTCCGATGTGTCCACAAGTACATTTGTGATGGAGTCCCAGGTGGCATGACTGGACCCCAATTCGAAACATGGGCATCAACTGTGCAGTGGCCAGTGAGGGTACTCAAACGGTTTGCAGATGGTCGATTCTTAGTTGGAAGTGAAAAGGAACAACCATCAGAACACCTTGCCATCAATGATAGACTTATCATTTGCCAGCCTTTCATCGAGAAATATCAAGGAAAGACAGACCAAGTTGTTGCAGGCAAGCTCAAGATGCAAACCCCACAGCCCATGGCCAACCAACCAGGTGATGACATGGTGTACAAGAACGATCCTTGGAATGTAGCATCCAATCCACAGAGGACAAAGTCCACGACAGTGCCAGGAGCAAATGCATGGGGAAACTATAAACCAACCAGCCAGAAAGCCCAAGAAGCAAAGCAACCATCAGATGACCATACGATGCATCTGTTTGCAAAACAGTCAACGAGAATCACGGATGTTGAGACGGAACTGCAAAACATCAAGAATCAACTGGCTGCTCAACAATCTGTCAATGAGACACGTTTCGCACAGGTTGAGGAATCTATCCAAACGGTCAATTCATCTTTGTGCGCATCGTTGGAGAAAGCCTTGAAAGATCAGTCGGCATCGTTGGTGAGCACCTTTGAGGCATTGCTCAGACAGAACCCAAGACCCGAGCAGCATCCGCAGCAAACGAGGTCGAGAAGCCCAAAGACGAAACAATGAGACAAGATGAAACATGCGATGTCTGGCATTGGCATTCCCATTTCGAAGTAAGTGAGACTTGCCCATGCGAGACCACAGACACCAGGAACGTAGTTTTGGAAACTTCCAGCATCCGCATTGGTAGACAATTTCCTGTCGCATATGGCTTTTCATTTTCCATTCCGCATTGTAGAAGTGTGCTTGCAGTGCAGTGGTCTTTTGCAAAAGCGAAATTTGCTTTCACTATTTGGATCGTCCCTGTCTTTTTGTCGAGCCTACTGATGTCAAATGCCTTTTGCTTGCGCCGCAAGTTCCAAGATCTCACCAAATCAGATGGTTGCAGTAAAGGCCCAACAGCAGCCGGGAAGTTTCCAAAAATACCCAAAACCAAACCACTAATGAAAAAGATGCAGTCCAGAACTCACAGAGCATATGAACTTGGAGATGTGTGTCAAAACGAAGTTTTTGGATTCCACATGTCGAAAAGCGTGGGAACATATCAGGGGATATCATATACCCACGAGATGTGCGCTGCGAAAGTTCTTCACTGCTTGGCCCAGAATCAAATGCAGGCAGGATTGCAGTCAAAAGCCTTCATATCAAGACCCTACAATTGGGGCCACTTGATGAACATTGAACAAAAATCCAATGGAGGCCATGGTAGTCATTCCTGCCGATGCCAAGAATGACCTGTCATTTCGGGTATTACCAAGGCACCCAATCGCCTAAGCAAATGCCGATGGTATCCAATCCGAATGACCATAATCCAAAATTGAATCCCTAGATAGAAATTCCCAAAACTTCCTCAAGAACTTGTGAGAAGAATATTTTCGATCCCAAGTCAAAAGGAAGCCATAAGGATGCGACCATTTCAGCAATTCCATGGTCGTATCACTTTAGCCAGCACACATATTGCTAGAGAGCTCCCCATTAAGAAAAGAGACCAAAAAGCCTTCCGAGATGAAGATCTGAGTTCCCCTCTCTTGCAACCAGAAATGATGTGCCCTTTTTTGGCCCTAAAACTGGTTGTTTAAGAAAAAAAAGGGCACCTCACTTTTAAGCCATTTACCTTACTCACACACCCATGCGGCCACCTATACATGGTATGAAGGTAAATTTCATCCTGTGGGAGAAGCATAAACCCAGGTCCAATCCACTAACAGTTGCAAATTTAGTCTCTTGAAAGGCAAACATGATTGGATATCTTCCTATCAAGATGAAGATGGAATTTATTTCCTGTCAGAAACAAATGCCACTAGCACAGTCATAGGAGCCGAAAGAAACCACCTGCGAAAATAAGTTTTGCCTTCTATGCCTCACAGCCAGTGAGACCAAAAACGAGAAAATTGAACCAGGAAGAACAATCCATGCCAACTTCCGGAGGAGCAGCATAGCTACCAATTAGCCTCACGTTGTTCGAAAATCACTATCCCTCCATGATGGACAGGCAAGCACGGATCGCTGCATGCTTTGTGAAACTCCAAAACGTTGAAATCTTATGCATCTCTGTATATGCATACCCTTTGCACAGCCATGCAGCGGCAAAATCAAGTGATGTCAGAGGCTAAATGACTCCCTTCTTCATCAAGCCATTCTGTAGCAGAAGAATGGGGAGGTCCTACAGTCATAGCGGGAGACTAAATCAACCCTTAGAAAAATTTGCAGACTGGCCATATCTAACGCATAAAGGTTGGAAATCAGTCCGTGAACTGCATCACAATGCAGGATAGCCCCGATGCATCCTACATTCAAAAATATGACCCATAATGACACCCTTTGATACACCCAATCTTGCACCAGGCATATCAATGCTCAGAAGTAAGATTAGGAAGTGGTTTGCCTGATCACCACCCGATAATCTGCCATTAAGAGACGATCGACTACCCAGATTTACATAACCTGGAAGTCACCACGTCCATGACCAAAAAGCAAAGTGATTTCTGAAGGGAAAAAAATACCCAGAAAATAATTCGGACACCTTCGAAAAATGGACAAAGCAGGTGGAAGATGCGTGGAAATAATCCTGGCTGAATCCGACAGCCCTTTAAAAGAATCCCAGACAGGTAGAGGATAACCCCCATCTATAAATGTAAACCCTAGTCCGCACACCACCTTATGGAAGAGACAGTGATTATAATGATTTCTGTCACTAACCTCGGTCCAGTATAAGCAGGTGATCCGACAAATTCGACGATAGACGCTATCCAGCACCAACTCAAAAAGAACAAAACAATTGAAAATTGCCTCACATAAAAATTGACTGGGATGCCGTTGTGAATGCAAAAGGGTTTCCACCGACCTTCAGGAAATGGTAGCCCACAGAGGGCATCACCTTGAGTCAAGCCCTTCATAAGCTTAGTGAACTAATCATGCAAGAGTGCACGAAGTTCCAAAAAGAGCTTGAAAAACAAAATGCGGATAAAAAAGCCAAAGGGTTCCAGGACCTCTTGAAAAATAGCAAGGAAAATTACCACAAAGGCATTTATAGAATGATCAAAGAAAAACCTCACCCACCAATCCAAGCTATCCAGGAAACGGTATGTCTCCAGGGCACACCGGTGAGAAATTTCTTTAAAAGAAAATCGCTCTTTGTTGTGGAAAAACATCCGCGATGGGACCAATTTGCCGAGCTCACAACAGGTGGACATAAATAAAAATTGTTGACAAAAAGAGGAGACTAGTACAATGTGATGGTCCAGTAACACGAGACAAGATCCAAATAACATGTATTTTTTGGGTTTATGACACGTCAACAATGCAAGAAGCCTTTTTCAGAGATTGGGGACAATACTGGAACCGCGTCCAGGAACCCCATCCAGAATTCCAATCTATGATCCAAGGAATACCACAAGAGTGGAAAATCTTTCAAAGTCAAAATCTAGATATAACAGTCACTGAATAAAGGAAGCAATCAAGAAAACTAACCCAAAAACATCCAAAGGATCTTGCAACTGGACTATCCAAGATATAAAGTAATCCCAGATGACCACTAGAAAAATGATCACCCACTGGAATAATTTTTTAAAAGGCAAAATACCATGGCCGACAGAGCTATCCTATGCAAAAGTGGTATTACCATCGAAATGTAAAGATGCATGCCTGATGACACAGACACGTCCCATTACTGTGTTCTCATAATGTGGAGACTCTAGCCAAAACATGGGCCAAAAAGGTCATCGCACAACTGGCATAATCGCACCAAAAGCCGTCCAAGGTGCCATGCCGAACCGCAGTGCATGAACCTATGGTTTAGTATCCAACTGCAGATTGAACATGCAATTGCCACAGACCACCCTTTAATGGGAGCAGTAACCGATTGACAAAATTTTTCAATACGGTACAACGATCATAATCCCAGACCTCTTTTCAGCATTTGGCCTTCCATAGAAACTGCACACAACTGGGTTAGCATGCTGAACCAGTTGGCAAAAATTGTGGTAATAAATGGCCACTACTCCCAACCATACACAAGCCTTACAGGAGTACCAGAAGGAGACCCAATAAGTGTGGTGGCTGCACTTTTAATAGGATAACCTGGTACTGGTTTGTAACGCAAAACCAAGTCGCACCTCCCCAGCCATGATCTACGTTGACAACTGGGAGTAATGGCGGAAGATGAGCAAGCCTAAACGAAGCTATCCAAAGAAGTGAAAAATTCTGCCAAATTTGGCATTAACCTTAGATAAGAAAAAGAGCTGGGTTTGGCACTCTGGGAAGAAGGACAAACACCTAGCCGAGTAACCAATTTACCGGCAAAGCAATCAGCCACAGATCTCGGAGCAACCATAAGATACCGAGGAGCCATTGCGACTGAACTCCATCGTGATAGATAGCAGCTGGATGACAAGACTGAATAAGTAACCAACATCAATATGGAGGACTCTGAGTAGCTTGCATTATAGAAGTAAGTGTTTACCCAAAAATCTTTTATGCTTGCGAAATCCATGCCATACCCATTGATGATTTCCAGCTTTTGCGAAGCAGAGTTGCCAGGACGATTTTCAGGTAACACAAAAATCAAGCCCTCCAGTGGCTTAGCTTAACTTACCCCAACTAGACCCATTGGTATTTACCACAAAAATGATGATCCGATCCATCCGCTCCTTCTCGGTAGCCTATCCAGAATACGTTCATCACATGGGGTTATTGTGGGCGCAGCCATAAGATCAACACACTATTGCTATGGACCAGTTGCAGTCCTGAAAAGAAACTGGCGTGATGCAATTCAAGATTGCGAATCAATGGGAGTTTATCGACTTTCAAGGCAAGAAATGGTCTTGATACAAGACAACTTCCCTTAATAATAGATGCCTAATCAATCAGTGGGATCATTGTGTTTAAACCAATTTCAAAACAGGAAAAACTTTGGTGACTTGAGCTGTGTCGACTAGCATCCGCAAGAAATGTGTGAAAGAGAAACATCCGTCACAGCGAAAGTTACTCTAATCCATTGACGGGAGGAGTCTGCACAAATGAAGATAAGCATAAATGGGGTTAATTTCCAGTCCAGCCTGCGACTTCTGTGGTCAAGTTGACACCTAGAGCACAGATATTAACCTGTAATGCATGCAAAGACGAAAAAGTGGATTAACCCCCTAGCCACATAACCATACCCAGACTTCTATGCCCACTCCCACCTAGGATCGAAAATGTAATAATGTGGGACCAGATAACGCAGAATCGCCCTGTACATCAACCGGTACAGTGACACCTGCATGTCCAGACGAGATGACTTGGGTGTGGACTGATGGCTCACAGCCTTTGCATGCAATGGATGCATCCTAGCTATAATTATAGACCATTTCCCAAATCAAGTCGAAAGACAACAATGGATAGACCAAAATTAACATCTCATAGACCATTCCGGGTCCACCATATGTCAAAAATTCCAGGAAGACAAAATGTTGGAAGAGCAGAAACATTAGCTTGATATATGTGTTTGCTACTTGGCGGCATGTCCATTAACCACAGACAGTGACTATGCAGTTGGCATATATACAAAAGTATCCCAAGATCCAAACTGGAAAAAACATAAATTCCTGCAACTACGATCTGTGGATTAAAATGGACGAGTCCTAAACGCGTTCGGTGGAAACACACACCGAAAAATCCACATCGAATAATCAAAAGCCACGAAGACTAGCAGATGATCCACGACAAAAATACTTACAGCTTGGCAATCAAGTAGCAGACTCCACCGCAAAAACCAGCTGATGCATGAAATTCCAATGTTTAAAGAAATTAGAAACTCTATTAATGCGAGAGTCGCACGCCGAGCGACTACATGGGGGATGATTTACGACACTTTGTACTCAGCCGCTACGGTGTTTGCAAATCATCAGACTCCACAATCACAATGCGAAGAAGAACCAGAACCACAGCTTCTCCCCAATTCCACCCAAGAAAACTATGTTCTAGATCCAAGTCATTTGGTCAGTGCTCATGGAGAAGATATCATGCATAGAATGCTATGGGGAGCAACATATTCAGCGTATCTATATGACTTTCTCAAGCAACTGCAATGGGACACATCGCCGAACACCCATACCCAATGGGTAGAATTGCTTATAAGTTTTAAACTCCTTTCAGCTCTACACACACCGGTGCCTGTCATCCCAAAAATAAAAGAGTATCAATCACCCTCCATTCTGCCTCAATTAAGTAGACATGCAACACTAGGACACGAAGTAAAAGCATTTGCATCCGCAGTCTTGCAGCTTGAATCGATCACAGGTGAGAAGCTCATACCAGGCATCCGTACCAAGAAAACCAGATTGCATAGGAGTTATTCAGTCAATTCTCCCAACACGGGAGTGACTTTCCGTGCCGCTTTCCCGCATGCAATGGAGGTAAGAAAGATTCTAAACGAATACTTCTTGAAACAACCATGTAAGAGACGTATGAACCCAACTTTAAACTTTGGTTTGGATCTTTCATTACCTCCCATTAATGTGTCAGTTCACCCAGTTGACGCAATCTTGACGCCAAAGGCCCGTGCAACCAATTGGCAGCGGTGGTACCAAATGGTATACTACCAAAGCCGTAAAGCCAGTCGTAGCCGGTCTGAAACAGCTTGAGGGGGCTGATCAGACCAAATTCGTAATTAGAGAATATTCCAATCGGTGAATTGTCTAACAACTACCTGACATGACACCGCACACTTTCTGGTCATCTTTTTCATCTCACTGAAAGCGGTGTGATGCTCACTTCGGTTGGTGTCACCCCGAGACCGTGCGCAGCGAAGGGACGACACGGGGTTTTGAACACTCAAATGTGGATCTATGATTGTTACTGTGAATTACAATTATTGTTGCTGTATATCCTAATATATATATATTATTATATATCATTATATATTATTATATTATATTATATTATATTATAATATTATATTATATTATATCATATTATATTATTATATTATAATATTATATATATATATTATGATTATATATATTATTACATACACACACACATATATATAATATTATATATACATTGCATACAGTACATATAATATTTAATTATACAACATAGTATTTGTATATTTATATTGTATTTTTATATTAATCACCCTTATGAAGGGCTTGTGATCTGTTGGCCAGTTTGGATACACGGCACTTCACTGGGCGGCAAATCACGGGCTACTGGAACTCTGCAAACTGCTAAGAGAGAAGGGTGCCGATGCCTGGTTGCAATGTGTCGCTGAAGATTCGGAGTTGGAGGATATGTAGTTGGAGATACCCTCTGACTCTGGTAAACTAACATAACTATGGAAAATCACAATTTTTAATGGGAAAACTCACTATAAATGGCCATTTTCAATAGCTATGTCAGTCATTACCAGAGGGTAGTTGGAATAGGCCTGATCGGTGTTCAACCGTGCCGTGACGATCCATAAAGTCACCTTGCACTAAGACTTGTGGCATGCTGCATGATTTGCCATGACGGGGCGCCACTGGTCACCAATCCTCAGTGGACTGGTCGAGCCTGAGTCCACTTTCCTATATAAATGTACTATACTGTTGGTCAAGCCTATTCCGATGTATATATTTACGTACTGTCTCAAGTTGATTCCTGAAAATACCTGTGAACATCCCCAACAATTTGCATCTTCAGCTTCGAACTTCCAAGCGGCTTGTGTTCTTTCTAGAGATGTTACAGTCACCAATGTGGCTTTGTGTCACCATAGTTTCAAATGCACTGACCCCACCACCAGAGTCCGGGGCTGTGTCATTATGGACCTCTGAGTTCATGCGAGAGTCGAGTCTGAAAATGGTGTATATACCCGCAAGTCAACTGATTGGTCATTGTTTTTTCCCTACTACAATAGACCAATCAGTAGCCATTTTGGGGTCCCCATTTGACCCGCTCAGGAAATTGATCCCCGCTCGAATTGGGATGAGACTCCTCTGATCATGGCAGCACGATCCCAGAAGTCCCTGCCGACCTGTGACTTCTTGGTGAGCGAAGGAGCTGATATGCAGGCGGGCACAGTGGATACCGAATGGGGGGGACCCCAAGTTATCCTCCAAACATAACAATTTTGATGGGAAAACGGGAAAACTAATGGTGACTTGGGGACTTGGGGTAAGCCAATTTAGAGAGATCACCATGTTGGCGCCAAACCCTACATTCGCCCACCTCCAAATAAATAACGCACCAGGATAACACGTTGTACGTGTCACCCGAGGATGAACAAAAACATCGGCTATATGCAGCCATTTTGACTTTCAGGATTTACAGTAGGGTTTAGGGTTTTTAGAGTTAGGGTTTCAGGGCCTTATGTCTTGTTTTGGGAAAAGTAAGAAAATGGCTAGCACTACGGCACTACGCAGGGATTTGAGCATGTCAAAGGATATGCCAGATCGGTGGGCAAACGTAGGGTTTGCAGCGATTGTGTTTAATTGTGACACTGGTATGTCTGAAAATGGCGTACACCCCCAAATAGCTGTTTTAATGGGGAAAATGATGATAAACCCGTGGATTTAGGGGTATCCCATCTTCAGACAAACCCACATGACTCATATACTCATGGCTTTTCTATCCAAGCTGGAAAACTGATGAAACATGATGAAAGCGGAATCCAGGATACATGGAACCCACATATTACACAATTGTAGATATGTAAAATCACACTTGCACTTCTATTAATAGAGTTTGCTTCGCACAATCTCCAGCCAACTTCTGCTAGGCGAAGACCAACTATAGTAAAGGTGCTCGGACTTTCGGCCAAAAAAGTGGCTAAAGATCAGCTTTTGCTTGGATTTTGCAGGATATAGACCGTATTAGATACGTCAAAACCATGAAAGTCCGCAAAATTGAACTGATCGTATCATTCGATAATGTTGGAAGCAATGATTTCCGAAGATACCATTTGGGAAGTGTATATAGATTCTGGTGGAAGCACCAAACAGAAAACACTCGCTGAAGGACAGCAAAGGAGTACCTGGATGACTACCTCAAAGAACTGGGTGTCTCAGTCAACTGCGGCCTTGGCAGCTCCTAGGCTCCGAGGGAGGTGCGGGGCTGGGGGAACAGGCTGAGATTTGAGCACCTCGCTGCTTAGGTGCGGCCAAGATACTGGATCTGGATGATGATGATGATTTGGAGGATAATGAGGAGAACAGTCTCAAGGAGAGTAGGAGAATGAGGATGGGTACTACGGTACGCAAGCTCATATTTCTTCTCCATGCCTTTCTTTTCTTTTCATCCCTCACATTTTGCCAGGTCCATCTCCACTGCGACAAAAAGTCTCGTTCTGCGGAGTGGAAAAAGGGCTGCAATCATGCCATGCGGTTGGAGATGGAGCATTCTGTTCATTTTTTTGGGGACAACAAGATTCTCAGTTTCGCTTTGCTGATTCTCTGGGTCCAGACAGCTTCTCAGTTCCTGGGTAGGTCGATGTGACTGCCACGACCATGCGCATAGGCCCAGGGATGGCACGGGGGTGGCAAGGCCTGGGTTGGTGACCGAGAGCTGGAAGAGTGGCCAGGTACTGTCGGCAACACGGACCCTATCGTGGAAGGGACCTTTGACCGAAAGGTGGATCCACATGGTGAGAACTACTCCTGGCCACCAAGCTGAACTGGGGTCTCCTTTGGGAATGAACCGCTCAAGAAAAACAAAGTCGTTGCAACTGGGAAAACAACAGTAGATATCTTGATTTGATGGAAGTGCTCTTTCGGAGAAGTAGTTCTCGTATTTCTGTTGCTAGGGGCTAGGGACGTAGTTGCTGCTGTCGCAAGAGGGCCACCTGCCTCACTCTGCATCTATCACAGTCCTACAAAACCTGAAGCTGGCCTAGCATGATGACCTATTTGGTTTTGTCAGAACCTTTAGAAGTAAACTACCCAAATTTGATGGTTTGTCATGTTTTTCGTAAAAACAACCTATGAAAAATGATTGAACATGACCATAAATAGGGCCATTTTTAGATAAACCCATCTGAAACTGACTGCTCAGTTGCAGATGTCAAACACCATATCCCAGGTTTCTGGTGCCTGATGAAGATATCTTGGAGATGACCCTGGACAAGGCGAAAAAGTGCAGCTTGCCACGTGGCCCTGGATCCGGTAGGCCGAACTCGGATTTTCGAACCATATTCGAACCATGATGAACCACAATAGACCACAATAAAACCACATTCTCTAAGGTCTCTTTGTCCTGATTTCTTTTTGAAACTATGCTTGTGATGTTCAAGCACCTGGATTTGTTCAGCACACTGAACGGACGCATGTGCGCCTTGAGTGCGCCTTAAGCCCGGCACTTCGAAGAGAGGACTCTTCGGAGGTGTACCAGACCTACAGCTATGGCACCTTGCTGTGGCCGCGGCTGTTCAATGATGACATTCCTCTAGGTGGGCGGAGTCCTGGAAGGCCTCATAAATGATCAGGGGTTTGTCTCTAATTATGGCTTTTGGCATTGCCTTTCAAGATCCAATAATAGAGTGTCGAAGAGTCTAACATGACGATATAGTCACTTGTTCACGTGCAGATGTTATCGTGGACTGAGTAGACTGCACATGACTTCGACTTGTGTTCTCTGTTCTCGGAAAGACTCGACGTTTTCTAGTCTTAAAGCAGTCTGTTGGACAGTAGGTCCTGCAGGGTTAAGGCAATGGTTTTCCAATGGCCTGATCAGCCAGGAGAAGGTCTTTTCGAAGCAGACCTTACGGATTTGTCCGGGACCCTTTGTGAAAGAAGCAGCGAGTTGATGGCATTTGTTGTGCTGAGAGCATCCACAGAGCTCATCTTTGCGAAAAACAGAATCCAATGTGAGGGCAGAAAAAAGATTAACGGTTGGTCTGTGACGATTTTTGGTTATTTTTGCGTTCAACACTTGAGCAGGACTCCCCTGCACCAGCTGGAAATGGCTGCAGTTCAAGGTTGTTTTTTCTTTCAAGGCCTCAGCACTTGTTGGAGAAGTTCCAGACAGATCAGGCTATGGCGGCCGGATGGAGCGTCATTTTGAATGGTCAACTCAGGCGTAGAGGTTGTGATTTTTGGGCGCAATTCTGTTGAATGGCAAGCAGTCTGAAAATGGGGTACCTCCAAATCGCCATCCTAACAGGGACAATCATGATAGTCAATGATAGTCAATGAATAGTCAATGATAGTCATTGGGATTGGAGCCGATTTTGCCTATTTTCAGACCCCAAATCCTACCAAGCTTTGACCACGACCAAAATTTCTGCATCTCTCTGGCTCTCTGGTTGCTCAATCAAGTTGCTCAAGTTGGTCTTCGTTTTGGTCCAGCGCCCAATTCCCAAGCACCCTGTGGAAACAACGGTGACCTTTGGATGATCTCAACAGATCCCAACGGACGCCATAGGCGAGGTCCGACGAGCAGTCGCAGAAAGAACGACAGCGACGGCAAATGATGACGGAGGACGACAACGAGCGCGGTCCAAAAATGTTCACAAGGTGAGCGAAAGAATTACAAGCCTCGATGGGAATCATTGCTATCAAGCAACTGGTTTGGTTGTGGGTTTGTGCAAATATGATCAAATATGTGTTCTCTTCTTGGAGAGAAGATAAAGAGGTGCGTAGTGCACAATAGTGCAATGATGGGCAATGTACATCAACATATCCAAGTTGAGGCAGAGAAAGCTGTGGCTTGACAATCAAAGTTTCCTGGTGCAGGAAGAAATCGCAGAAGAGACCGCCAGGCAGTTTGAGTGGATCCAGATTTGTTGATCAGATCAGCCTTATCCAAATCAACAAATATGGTTCATCTCATTTCATATGAAATATCCAGATTTGCTGATCATTTCAATCTCATTCCCAGAAACTTTATAAAAATCCAGATGTGTTGCTGGAAATGAGATTGAAATGAGATTGAACTGAGCAAATATCCCAAAGTTTGATGATGTTTGATGGTTCATCCATCATTTTCGTTCGAGGCTCTGGAACGACGAGTTCGCCAGACACGGCATACCACACCGGGTGGATTCATTGGAGGAGACGGGGATGGCTAGGTTATGATGAAAAATCTGATTTGACTCAACTAATATGGAGGTTTCCTAAGGGGGTACCCCCAAATCATCCATTTATATCATTTATATCATTTATATCACCAAATTTTGGGGTAGCCTCATTGATGGAAACCCCCCATATAGCTATTGAAAATGGTCATTTATAGTTGATTTACCCATTAAGAATGGTGATTTTCCAGTTCGTTAAGTTATGTTAGTTTACCAGAGGGTAAAGGTCAGGATGGTTGATATATGATTGTTGGCCAAGTTGCTCCAAATTTTCGAGCTGTTTCGATCTTGCGATGGCTTTTGTTTCAAAGATCGTCCCCTTGTATTTCAGCACTTTGCGGGCAAACCATCATTTTGGAGGTCAAGATGTGTGCAGGACAGGCGTATGGACAGCTACCAGAAGTGATAGCCGTCGGCGTCATGTCGGGAAATGGACCGGGTGGCAAAAAGTGAAACAAAACTGAACCTGGGATCGAGGATGGAATGTTGGTTTCATCAATTCTGTCCTTTAGGAAAGTTAAGGGGGGGTTTGGTAAATTATCATTATATATTATTATATAATATTATATATATTATATCATTAATTATAATCTACCATAATCTACCTATTGCTTGTTGGGTAGAGGGTACCTCGCTATGCCGCTATACTTATAAATCAATCAACTAGTGGATAAAGGACATGGGTTTCATGGATGATATATTTCCCCGTCGACATTGCATCTTTGTCCTACACACATTGAGATGAAGATCTGCAGCCGATGATCCAAGCAAGAACTGAAGGAACACAGAATACACTGCGCCAAGATGACACGTCCTTGCAGGTTGTACCAATGGACCCACCTAAATTGTGTTGTTTTCAATGGAACAATTCACTGAGCAAGTATTTGTTAGAGCCGTCCCCAAGTTTTTGAATCTTTGTTTCCCCATGGCCAGATTTTGCCCATCTTCTGGCAGTGTCTGGCAGTGTCTGGAGTTGCCCCTTGCACATAAAAATCATAAAATGTATACTGGAAATCAACAGAACATGGGAAAATCAAGAACGACGATTTCATGATGAACGGGTTTGTCTTAAAAAAAATGGGTACCAATTTCTGTACCCCAGTCCATCCCCTGGTTAATTATCATTACTGTATCTTGTATGATCCCTATTCGGAAGGCCATATCCCGGGGTATGCACCATTTTCAGACAAGGTCCCTGTTTGATCCTTTTTGGGGATTTGTTTCACATCACCTTCAAGTATCTGTTGGAGAATTACATCCCGAATAGTTGGATGATATGTTTGGATGTTTCTGAAATTGGGTGATCCCCAAAACCATAGGTCTCAATACCAAAATGTTCACAATTGGACGATTTGGTAGTATACTTAGTTCAGGAAACCTCCATATCCCCAATAGTTGAGTGATGTTTCATTAGGACATTTTAAAATTTTACCAAGCCCCCTGTGCAATTGCCTCAATCTTGTCCTCAGAATGCACGCGGCATCCCATGGCACGGCGCGCTTCCACCTGCCGCTTCGGGCGCGGGGGGCAGCAGAGGTTGCAGCCTCTAAACGTCAGAGCTCGCGAGTGAGAGCAAGGGATGCCCAGATGATACCAGATGTTGCTGTCAGGGTATCCTTGAGGTTTGAAGTAAATGGAAAATGAACGGAAATCATTTGCTGTGAATGATTGTCTTGATTTCTAAAAAAGACAGAGAAATCGATCGGATCAGGGTAGTGTTTCCCTTAGGGATCATTTGCAGTATGATTTTTGTAATTTTGAAGGGAAGGATGCATGTGGACCCACTGATTATACCGTTATAATCCGTTATAATTATACCAAATACAAGTAGGAAGATATGCACTTCTGAGAGGTTTTGAGATAAGTATAGATAAGCCAAAGAAGAGGTTTTCGGTTTGATCAGAAACCCGACATGCCAAAATGGGGTATGTCAAAGCCGATATTCCAGCCTGTACCATTGAACCTGAGTGGTTTTAGTTCGTGCATTAGTTCGTGCAGTCTTCCTTTGAAATACACAGTGCGGAAGAAAGATCCTATTTGGAGATCACTTCACAATCAACAACAGGATTAAGGACTCAAACATATTCCTGTCATTTCCAGTATTTCCAGTCACGAAGTAGCGTTCCGTCCGATTGATGCTGGAACGCCGAGGTAGCAGACAGAGAACTCTCTTACTCCTGGGTGATTTACGATCTTGCCAGGCAGAATGTGTGCACTACTTCTGGATCTTCTGGCTGCAACCCATAGCCAGAAACCCAAGATAACCCAAGAGTATGCTGCTTGACATCCGGTGCTCACAGTAGCCCTGCGCAGGCAAGGCAAAGATGATGCTGCAGCTGCCTTCCTCCAGGCAACGCTGCAGATGCTATGAACAACATACCTCACAAAAGATCAGGAGCAAAGACAACGTTGTGCCTGTGGTGTATAAATCTATGCAAAGCAGCAGAAACTGGTTGTATCATGTTGTATCTGATTGTCATGGAGCTTCTAGCGATGCAGCATTTTGAAACAGTTTTCTCATGTGTTCTCCATCTTCGCCAGAGTTGCCCATTTCACTGCCGACCAAACTTCAAAATCCGACTCAAAATACCACTTAAACTTAAACCATACGCTCCTTCTGGATCCTTCTGGAGGAAATGTTCGAATCGATCCATCTTTGCTAGGCCATGGCTGCAGATGACATCAAGCCCAACTCCTTTGCTTATCAAGGCCTGGTCAGACCTTGGGTTGTGTCAAAGTGTGTAAGCCCCAAATCTCGGCAGTTCATCGTCATTTTCCCACAGATAAATATACTGTAATGAATCATGTTGGATCACTTTGGGGTATCACCATGTTGACATATATTATATTTATGATATAATATGATATAATTAGGTTAGGCCTTCGCTTTGGAACGCGATTATGTTGATACAAATCCAGAAATTCTGTCGTCTTTGTAGAACTTTGGCATGTGCTCCCGCAGCCGGCCGCAGCATTTGTCAGCTGTGCTCAACGGCTACGCCAAGCATTTGAACAAGTGGCAAAAGGCCGTGGGCGTCTTTGGCCGGGCTCTTAGGAGTGGATAGTCGGGGGGCTGGGGATCGGTCCTTGTTTTTTCGCCATAGCCGATAGCCAAAATATGCCAAAATGGAGATGGAATGAGATGGATTAAAATCATAGTACCCTCTGGTAATGACTATAACATAACTATTGAAAATCACCATTTATAGTGGATTTTCCCATTGAAAATGGTGATTTTCTATAGTTATGTTAGTTTACCAGATGGTAATTTCATAAACCTGTTGTAAAACTCCGAAAATGGAGAGATTTGTCATACACGCACAATGACGAAATTTGCAGGTTTATTGCTGGTCCATTGCTACCCAAAAGCCATATCTTGGGATGACATTGCTCTCCATTATTTTTGTTTGCCTTTTGTAGTATGAGGGCCACTCTTTCCGCATGTTAAACCTTGTGTCTTTCTCTTGATTGTCTGGCTCTGCTTTCATCTGCTTCTTGATGTTAAAACTTTGGTGTCGCGCAATATGGTTTGGTTTTGGCCGTATGTCAACATATATATTTACATGATTTACATGAACCGATGATATGTGTATATTCCTATCCTCTTAATATGAAACACCCCCTAAACAATCCCAAATATGCGTACATCATCGTAAATCCATGTACATCCCCTACTAAGCCATGTTTTTTTGGGGATAGATGAGATTAGAGGTATGTTCTAGGCACTGCATCCAGGATGCTGCTGGATGTGTTGTACACTCCTTGGTGTAGTTTGCTCGAGGCGAGATGCAGAGATCAGCTGGTGCACTCAGAATATGTGTCCTATGACCTGTTGGATACCCATATTCCCATATTGGAGGATGTTCATCCACCCAGCAATGGGGTGGCCTTAATTACCAAATATGTTTGGATTCCCAAAATTTGGGATGACCATACATCATATATATATATATATTACATATACAGAAACATATTATAATATGTGTACATCACTTATATGTATGTATATACATACATATACATGAATATACACACATACATACATACATACAAACAAACAAACAAAGAAACATACATACATACAAACAAACAAACAAACAAACATCCATCCATCCATACATCCATACATCCATACATCCATACATCCATACATACATCCATACATCCATACATCCATACATCCATACGTCCATACATCCATACATCCATCCATCCATACATCCATACATCCATCCATACATCCTTACATCCATACATCCATACATCCATCCATCCATCCATGCATACATACATACATTACATTACATTACATTTCATTCATACATACATACATTACATTACATTACATTACATTACATTACATTACATTACATTACATTCATACATACATACATACATCCATACATCCATGCATGCATGCATGCATGCATACATACATACATACACACATACATACATACATACATACATACATACATACATACATACATACATACATACATACATACATACATACATAATACATTATATACACCATGTTCTGAGCATGGTATGTGTGATTTGCAGTGGTCGTTTCATGCAATTGATAGTCGACTTTCAATGAAATTTAGTTCTGAAGAACATGTTTTCAACTGACATTATTTGACAGATTTCACTACTGTATAGTGTGTACTGTATATATATATATATATATACAGAGAGAGAGAGAGAGCTAGATGTAAAAATATGTGTATATAATTATATTTATATTGATTCATAGACAGGCCGTGTGTTGAAACTCAACCTCGTTTTTTTTCATACACATTTTGCCAAGGCCATAAAGCCAACTGCTATGCATTACGCAGCGGTGATGGATAGCTGTGGAAAGGCCGGCCCCCTTTGATTTGGGTTTCTCATAATTTCCCAATCTGTTAAAATTGCCATTTGGGGGTATACACCATTTTCGGACAAACCCACTTCTTGTTGTTTATTTGAGTGGTCATGTCACGTAGATAGTTTTCTGTCTCCTTGCTGTTGATGTCCTTGAGCTTGTTCGCAAAACTAAGCCTTAAATGCACGCGCAAAATTCCAAGCTACTCAAGGTGCTTTCACTACGAGATAGTGCGCTCGTTCGCGAATTATGGGATGGTATGGGCGGTAGGTGCTGTATGGGTCAATATTTGAGCATGTACCATCCAAAACCATCTAATTCATTCCAATTTTAGGGGTTTATGTTCAACTAAAATCGGTGACCTAATTTTAGTCTGGCCCATACCATTTCAATACTTGGAACGACCCCCCAAAACACAAAGTTGAAGGGAAACCAATGGTGTACCCAGAGTTGGACATGCAGCAAGGCTGGTGAAGCCAAGCGCGCAGAAAGGCCGCAGCGGATAGCGGATTCCGCAGGAATACGAAATACTATTCTTATCTATTCTTTGCGGATACGGATATTTCAGATTCAGAGATTCTTTATTTGGCATATGTGAGATATGTGAGATATACTCGTGATTTGTGGGCTGGAGAGGAGTTTGCCTTAGCAATTGCCAGAGCCTATTGCTGATCCACCGCTGTGGCCTTCCTCATTTCTTCACTGTTTACCCTCTGGTAATGACTAACAGTTTGCTATTGAAAATGGCCATAGAAATAGTGGATTTACCCATTAAAAATGGTGATTTTCCAGTTCGTTATGTTAGTTTACCAGAGGGTAAAACTGAGGTGGTTTGGTGCGATGAAGAAAAACTTCGTTGACCCAAACACAGTGCCGGATCCCAGCCTAAGGACAGTCACGGGATTTTTTGGTCTGCGGTCCACGAAAAAAGACCTGGTGCCTTTTCACAGAAACCCAACAATTATCATTTCAGTGGGAAAGATGATGATATTCCAGTGGAATTTTGTGTACCCCATTTTGAGACTGAAACCCGAATCTCTTTGATTCAACATACCTCAACTCGAGCTGGCAGGTATGCTACAATGTGATCATCAATGCCCATGCCAGGACCCACCAGAAAAGCTGGCTGCTCTGACTCGATGAGATTCGATGAGAGCTGAATGCAAATGGTATTCTTCAACAGACCAGAGTTTATGCTGACAGGCAGCAAGAGGTCTTACTGCTTAAATTTGACTTCAAAGTAGGCGCAATCATTAACCGTTTCAATACATGGCTTCTGCTTACCGCGCTCAGTTTGTTTCATTCATCCCAGCACCATCCCCAAGGATGCTAAAGTATCTAGAGTTGGTTTCGCATATTTCGCTGACACCTCCCTTTGTCCCCTTTAAAACATTTTGGCATATGTTATGTTTTTCAATGTCTTTCCATGTTTTCCATGACACAGGCAAGGGGATCCCGCTGGGGCTTCCAAGTGGTTTCAACGCATGCGACAAGCCAAGCTCATCGACATTGCCTGGCACCAAGAGATCATATGGTGACTCCTGGGATCACCCACCGAATCGTGGATGGATTCACCTGTATAATTCATATATTAACATTATTAACATACGTATATTATACATAAGTATAGATAATATAAGTATACAATAGTATACAGTATACATCATATTTATTAATTTATCATAATATATCTATATATATTTATATATGTTAGGGATATATGTATATATGGGACATTATATATATAATACATGGGAATCTCTAGTCAGGGGTTGTAAGCCAGTTCCGACCACTGGCATGCTCACCGAAATCGCCCAGGTCGCCTACAATTCGCTGCTTCACAGCCTTCGCCAGTGTGGCACGCTGGGGACCATGACCCAGCCTTCCATGGTGCAGGCGCAGCCGATGCGTTGGATCAACGTCGGCTATGGTCTGTGGCCATCATATCGATGACATTGTAGAATTGTGAGATAGTAATTGTCAAATCTTGTGTGATGAAATCTTGTGAGTGATGATGATTGATCATATGATGGGTTACTACAATAGGGCTACCCCTATATCATCATAAATCATCCATATGTTTGATCATTTTAGTAGGATTGTCCCTTATAAACCATGCACTTTGAGGATCCTCCATTGATGAAAACCTCCATTTATAAGCCGCATGATGGAGCCAGGAAGCTGAAAAACTCTTCCGGGAATTGAGGCCTGAGAAGCTGTTGCTTGAGCTGCACAAATGGGATTTAAATCCATGTACAAATGGGATAAGCCACAAAATGGGGATTTACTCACCAGGGTTATGAAAATCACTTACCAAATGGTGTGATCCTCCAGGTAATAATCTTTGCTGTCACATGGATCGTCTTGTTCGAGGTCAAGTTTGTATTGATGGCAGGTGTAAAATGGCAGATCACCAGGGATAGTGGACCTGTTTCAGCTCAGGATTTCAAACAACCTCAGATTTCCAGAGATGGAATGGAAAGGTCCCGGTTTCTCAAAAGATGAAATTAAAGAACCCCTTCACATGTGTTCAAAGAAATCCATCGAAATCTATCGAAATCCCCATTTTGCAGCGACTTTACTGATTGGTTTCGATGCTCACATTAGCAGCAGAAATAGACACAAAAGTACTTTCCGAGACTGGCAGGTGAATTTTGCCAGTGTTTGCAGCTTAAAATCGTGAGAGAATCAGTTGAACCAAGAACCAAAACCTGCAGAAATCTTAGGGTTTGAAAAATATACGAGCTTTTCCGACAAAACCCCAGGTATTTTCACCCATTCTGAAAGTACGGGTTAGGTACGGGTTAAGTACGGGTTAGGTACGGGTTAAGTACGGGTTAGGTACGGGTTAGATTGGGTTAAGTACGGGTATGGGTTAGGTACGGGTTTGCTATGGGTTCAAAATCAATACCCGAGGTCTTCAAACGAAAACCGAGGTTCTCTTATTTTTTTTCCGAAATACTTCAGGTTCATGCGTTAACCAGAGGAATTCTGAGGGTTTTGGTTCTCCAGGTATATTATGGTATATTTATATAATTTCATTAGATTTCATATAATATCATTTCAATACATGTCATTTATATTCATTTATAATCATTTATAGTATCTATATCTTCCCCCATTCTTGGCAGTTTCAATCCCAGAGTTTCGCCAATTTCGCCATGGCTAGGCTGGAAGACTTAGCTCCAACAGCTGTGACCTTGGACCTCTTGGCATCCATCGTTGGCGATGCCAGGAGGTACAGAGATCACCGGGAAGAGATGTGACTCTCTGGAGCAATGCGTGGATTTGGATTCTCAGATTTCTATCGATTTCTGGGAACAGTATAGATTTATGGGAACAGTATAGATTTCTGGGAACAGTATAGAACAGTCATTACATGTCATTACTTGGTTTGAGATGCACACTGAGTGTGTGAACAAGCTGACACACTGACATTCGCTGTTGTCAGACGGTGTCCAGTTTCTGATGATGCTCAGAATGTAAAATAATGTAAGCCGCTTTTAAGCAGTCAAGTATGTCATGTCGTTATGGGTAGTCAAACAAGAAATATATACAGTTCTACAGCTGTTCATCATTTTTTGCCAACAATGATCCATTTGTTTGAATTGTTTGGTATGACTTTCAGGTAAGAACACTTCAGAACATATCAAATATATTCAAATATACAGAAACTGCATTGATGCGCAGCTCTTTGATCAGTAACTCATTCTGTTTGAGAACCGGCTCCAGGGATCAGTTGTGCGAAGAATTGGATGTGGACGTAGAAGAGGCGACCCCTGGTGATGGTCATGAAAAAATCGCACATTCACTTGGATGATTTCCCATGGAACCCTCCATTTCTATCTAGTTCTTGCGAATTTGTTGGAACATCCCCCATTTAGTTTGATGATTTCCCATTGAAGGATCATTCAAATTTAGGGCGGGGATTTTGAAGCTAGCCATTTGATGATGGTTGATGACACCGGTAAGCTGTGCATTCATTTGACAAGGTACTGGTTCGCAAACAAAAGCACTGGTCAACGATGGTAAACGTCTTTGCGGAGATGTCTTACGTTTCGCAACAAGCAACTTTTTGTATATGGCTATGATTGCTCACCACAATCGGTACAGCGCGAGCGTTATATAAGAATGTTGGTTGCCGATGGCCAGGGTCCCTCAATTTCTTATCGGAAAGGCCCCATGTATGTCAGTGTATATGTACAGAAATCGGTCGAGGGTCCCTTAATTTCTTTGCAATTTCTTAATGTAGTATTTCACAAGCAGTCAGATTTGAAGATGTAAGAGAGGGGTTGCCTTTGCGCAGCTCCTCTCGTGAGTTTGACTCCGCCATCCTTGCGCCACTTCCCAGTGGCTCCTGGGCGCAAAGGAACAGTTACCCAGTCTCCTCTGCAGAAAGCTCTTACCAACCCTTACATGATTAAGAAAATGAGGGGCTGGATTTCTTAGTTATGTATTGAGTTGAATCCTTACCCGGTGACGTCTCCTCTACACAAGGCTCTTATAAACGCTTACATGGCTAAGAAATTGAGGGGCTGGATTTCTTAGTTATGTATTGAATTGAACCCTTACCCGGCGACGTCTCCTCTACACAAGGCTCTTATAAACGCTTACATGGCTAAGAAATTGAGGGGCTGGATTTCTTAGCTATGCATTGAATTGAACCCTTACCCGGCGACGTCTCCTCTACACAAGGCTCTTATAAACGCTTACATGTTTAAGAAATTGGGGGGCTGGATTTCTTAGTTATGTATTGAACTGAACCCTTACCCAGTGGCAACAAGGCAGCACAGGCAAGGCAAGGCAAGGCAAGGCAATCGAAGGCAACACGAGCCAAGGGCACAGATGACCTGCAGTGAGTCTGGCTAGTACTGGGTTCATGTAGTTTCTTGTCTCGTCTCCCCTGAAGTTGTCCCAGGTCGGTGTGCCGTGGGGAAGTGTGTATAAAATATATATATGATATTATTATTCCATTGTATCATTGCTTATTGCAAGACCACAAAACGCACAGGCACGCTGAACTTCACCAACATGAACCTACCATTTGTAGTCATAAACCTTCTTATTGTTTGTTTGTCCATTGCAGGGCACACAATGCAGGGGTACACTGGGTCAGGGATGCTTTGCACGACTTATTTGGCACTAGGTGTGCCATTGGGAAACAGATACTTAAACTACTGGATCGATGTTGTAACAAGTGCGGATGACAAGATCTTGTGCCAAATCGTGGTGTGCCTATGGGGAAAGGCCCACATGGGCAGCGCCTATGACTTTGACTTACTGATGTATTTTTTGGCACTTCGCATAGGCACACGATGCGTACCTGTCATATCTTTGTGGGTTTACCCACCATACTCCCAAAGATGAAAGTCGTGGCTGTGTTTTGCTTCAGTTTGGGCCTCAAATATAGACAATCGAACATAGACATAGGTCATCCTGACCTGCTGCCCTATGCCTGTTCGTTCCTCTGCCCATGGCTTTGCTGCACTTTCTCTTCCCCAGACAGTTTTAGCCTTTAGATATCTTTGGTTATCACGATTCCCACGTCTCAACCAGTCTGTGCCCGCTCAAATTTCTCACCGCCGCCTTGTTTGCCAAGCTCGCGTCCCTTTGTCTCCCCTCTGTCTCCCTTACTCGCCCTTTGTCTCCTCTTCTGTCTCCTTGCTCTTGCCTGCAGCTGCTGCTTGGCTTGGCTTCCTCTTCTGCTCCACCGCTGAAAGCTCTTGAGTTTTACTGTTCTGAAAAGAATGCGAAAGCGTGTGGCTACCAAAGACTTTGTCAGGAGACTTAGGGGGTCAGTCTCCCAAAATTTAATTTCGGACCTCGTTCGCACCTCGTTCGGACCTCGTTAAAATTGCAGCCAGTCAAAACCAAGGCCGGAGAGGTTTTGGAAAGGCTTTGCAATGGTCTGCTGCTTGGTCTGCTGCTGCTGCTGTTGTTGCTTGTGCTGCTGCTTCTGGGCAAGGCGCGGTTTTTGGGCAGAGAACCAAGACATTTGTGAAAGGGCTGGAAGCTGCGCGGAAAAAACACAAGCATAAGAAGATGACCTGAAAAAAGAAAGTCGATCCGATCAGCGGTGTGCCATGGGGAAGTGGATGAAAGGGTTGATTGGCATGAAATAAAATTTATCATAGAAACCATAGGAATGCAACGTCGATCACATCCAAGTTTGTATGTTGGAAATGCCATGAAACTTGGTGTGCCATGCGGAGGATGATCGTTCTGATTGTGCAAACAGGCGGAAGATTATTGATGTTTGGCGTAAGCGGTGTGCCATGCGGCTGGCGCAAGTTCTAGTAAATGCCGTAGGATCACGCCGGGGCTCGTACCGAAATCAAACGAATCCATGTCCAGAGTCATGACAAGAAAACGGGGCGTGTGCTGCAGCATTGGTTATTTTTCTCATTTGGATGGAAGGCAGCTGTTTTGCTGTCAATGCGTGTGTACCAATGGCGGTTGCCCATTTTCAACATGGATTTATTACCACAGGAGATGGTATTAAATATGTGGTTCGCAATGGTACGGACACATTTTACATATTGTGTTTGCCAAACCAATGGTGGTGTGGTACTAGTGTGCTAATAGGATTTGGTCCCTGGGGTAACTTCCGGATGGCCTGGGGTAACCCTGTGTGCCATTGGGATGGGGTAACTTCTGGGTGCCTGGGGTCAGAAACAACGTCCGACCAGTATCTGGCTGAAGTTTTTACCTTCATACTTCGTGACCGTCTAGTGGCTCGACCCTGGGTTGGTCCGGCTTTTTGCTTGTCATTCCCAACCATGCCGTGGTTGTGCAAAGTTCATTTTGGCGGGTGTTTGGTTCCAAGGGAGGCTGGCTCCATTTCCCGCTCCGAATAGAATCTTTATAAACCATTTCATGGTTAAGAAAATTGAGCAGGGGCGCAAAGGGGCTCCTTCACATACATCTAATTTGTTTAGCCGTAAAAATTCCAGGGTCCCTCAATTTCTTATCTTCCATTTGCATATATATATATATTCCACAAAACATATATGCGGCAAAAAAATCCAGCCCCTCATTTTCTTATACAAGGAATTCTTATACAATGCTTGGGCTGTAGTTGATTGGGTATTTGTCGTACCTGTTTGGTTCTGATTGAATCTAGGCTCGTCTGCTCATGCATTGCATACACATGAGGCTCACATTAGGAACCAAATCTTTAAGTTGCCAAGAAATGCATGTAGAAATGAACAAAAAACATACGAACATATACAAAAACAGAAAATTAAGTCTATTTAAGATGCTTTGAACACATATTGATTATCAGATGAACCACAAACTGGGGATTCTTGGTCACGGCCAGGCCAGTCGCTTGGACCAGGAGCGACACCGCAGTGTTGCTTGGTTTGTTCAATTTACACCAGCAGAAAGGTGAGAATTGATGTTAATTGGCAATATAGTTATAGATTCTCTCTTTATATATATATAAAATATGTAAATTTATGACATGGGAATATATGGGATGTATCCACACATCTAATTTTATAGGTTAACAACCATGGTGAGGACGATTCCCCATGACTTGGATGAAAACCTTCAATACTTACTGGTGCTTGGTAGGGAATGGATGGGAATGGGGGAATGGGATGATTATTGATAGTTAGCCAGTGGATCATTCCCTCATTCCCTGCTAAGCACCAGTAAGAATATGATGTGAATGAAAGAAATCATGTACTTTTCAGTCCCAATTCCTCTCTGAACCCTTGAAGGATGGACCATGGTTTGAGCATGTCACGAACCTGTTAGGCGTGTGACTTTCAGATTTCCGTAGGTGTAGGAGGACCTGTTGTCGCATGGCACCACATTTTGCAAACATGCCTGCTTTCTCAAACAAGAGTACTACCTACACAATTTTCCCCAGTTTACTTAGCCAACAACGTGACCAAGAGATTCAAGGCCACTCTGCCACCTGACAACCGATCTGAATATCCACCACTAATTGCTTGGCTAAGTACGATTTACTTAACAACCATCAAAGATCATAGATAGATAATGAATGATAATGATAGATATAGAATATTCAAATCGTATCAGAATATAGATGCACAAATGACGCAATAATGATGCAATAATGATGCAATAATGACGCAAAAATGATGCAATAATGATGCAATAATGATGCACATAGATACAGATACCAAATATCCAGATAATATCCACCATCAAGTCTTGTCCGCCCAGGTGCGACCCTTGATGTGAAAAATGAGGAAACATCGCCACAGCTGGGCCCTGGAGAAAATGTGGATGGTATAATATCTATACTTGCCGGGTGGGTTTTAATACTTAGTTATAGATGGTTCAAAGATGTTCAAAGTATTTGATGGTTATAGTTATAATCTTATACGTGATCTAATGTGGTTCAAACATTCATATCGGAATCGTTTTTTCAACCATGCAAAAGTTACTTGGAATATCTTGGAATGATTGGTTGAGATGACGATCACATTTTTGAGATTGGTGAAAACCAGCAACGAGTATAAGATTATAGTAGATTATATCATATTTTTTACAATATACATATGTATATATCAGTACCTGGAGAAAACAGAAGAATCCCATCCCCCCATCTTTTTGCACATCCCGCAGTTAAAGGGTCCCAAATATATGTATTGTATCCCCTACTAAACCATGGTTTCTGGGGGGTGTTTCATATTAGAGGCAGTGGATTCGAATTGAAAGGTGGATGTCCCGATGTGGGGTATCTCTATCCAGTCATACACGAGGCGTGGTGACATTCAGCCTTTCCCTGGGTTGTGGTCGTGGTCGGTTCATTGAAATGGCTCAAGAGCTTACAGTTACTGTGGGATTGACATTGGATGGCAGAGATTTCTGGTAGTTGCTGATTCATCATGAGCTCCACCAATCACATCCAAGAACCTTGCACCAGCTGACCGGGCTCTATGGAGATTAGGCTCAACGCTGTTAGATAAGCATGATTGAATCTTTATTTATCTTCATCCCATATTGTGTGACTATTGCTGGGTAGAAAAAAGATGGTGTCCCAATTGCAGGGCAGCAACTTTGAAAAAGAACGATGATTTCATGCAGCAGTTTCCTTTCTTCGGTTCGGGGCTGTGTTTTAATCCCCCGATCCACTGCAGTGCGAATTAGATGATGCTCGATCATGGGGGCAGCCACTTCAGGCACTGGCGCGACTGTTTTGCTGGCCACGTTCAGAATCTTCAGGTTTAGAAAACTTGAGACATCAAAGCGTATCAACACGTGTGCCAAGATGCTTAATGGAAATCCTTATAATATCTGATAAAAAATGGGTATACAAATCCCTATTGCTGGATTGCACGCATCGTTTTTTCCACCGCTTTTCAGACTGTGACACACTCAGGTGGATATGCAGCATGGTTCTCTTCTGGAGTTGTAGATGTGGTTCTCGTGCCGGGCCTTCAGGTTGGTTGAGCTGAAAAACTCAACTCTGAAAATCTGGGGAATGCGTCGATACTTATATATATATATATGTATATAGTATATATATATATTTATTTATTTATTTACCCAGATTATATCCCAATTTCGCTGAGTTTTTGTTTCACCATGGACGAATGATGGGATTTGGCACTTTAGATGGATTCTATGGCTGGTCGGACCACTGGAATGGACCGTTTTTGATGAAATCTTCCATAGGACCGGAAGACACCGATGATTTTTTCGTGCGATGTAGACACTGTAACCACAAAGAAGCAGTGATTCTATAGCCAATGGGGAAATCTTCATTCGAAAGAATGTCAGGCAGGCTTTGTTTTTCATCCGATGTGCTACTGGAGATGTGAACGCCGGTTCTTTCAAAGGCTGAACGATGCCCGCAACATTGTACTTCAGGATCGAGAGGAGCTGAGAGTTTGCTACTCCTGATCAAAATGTCCAAATGAAGGTTTGCGCAAATGTGGCATCCCCAAAACCATAGGTTTCAATGCGAAAATGGTCTAATTGTGGATGATTTGTAAATATCTCCAACTGGTTTTCCAGCAACCCTAGCTGATATATGCTGGCATCATGTGGCAGGAACTGAGTGGTGTAATTCATCTAAATCCAGATGACTCTGGCAATTTCGTCCTGACCAGGCGGGATCCCAAGCTGATGGCAGCCTGATATCTCAAGTCAACTCATCATATTAAACAAAAACATGCTGTATATACATGCAGACTCTTGCAGACTATCCTCGTTATGATACATCTTGTAAATCCCTTTCGCAGCTTTTGTCCACGAGCAAATGACTTGCCACCGCTTGTTCGATATCTACTCTGGTCCTGTATCCTGCCTCAAAAGATACTGTTTTGTCAGCAATCCTTCGCAGATGATTCATAATATGTCCGAATATGGTTTGAATCGATATTAGTCAACAATAGTTGTAGATAATCAATCACAATCCCCATAGTATGATTTGTTTAACGGATCTGTAATCTGCCTCAAGTATAGATACAATACGAAGGCAAACATGTGAGTCAGTCATGTCAACGACTGCAGGGAGAGCCCAGCAACTTTGTCGGGGCCTGAGCCGCGAGCTGCTTTCTGACACGGGTGGGCTGCTGGTTTTGCACTTGGCCCGGTGTGATTTGACAGTTCAGATGCGCTTTTCTTGATTGTATATCGAAAGAAAGACCTAAACCTAACTAATTAATTGCAATATGTTATACGATGTTATAAGTATACTTAGTTATTGCACATCATGTATTGTAAAAGGCATTATGTGTCAAGCTTGATATTCTATACAATAGCTCGAGTTTTGGCGGGAGGTCTTTGAGCTCGACGAAGATCGTTGAAGTTGAGTTCCAGGGGCTTATTCAAGGTCATCAGGAGAAGCAGCTGATTGGCCTTGCTGCTGATATAAACTATGGGGCTTTACTGAGTCATGGGGGTACCCCGTGTACCCCCAGTCATCATCCATTTTTGCATGCGATTTTCCGTGAAATAAACCATCCAGCTATCGGGGTACCCCCCCATGACTCAGGACCCCCCGCATATGGACAAATATTGGGTTTGTCATAGTTATACCGTGGGGGTATACTAGATGGTAACGCCGTATTTTTTCCAGGTTTGAAACCAGGGGATGGACAACGACTTCACTGCAGCGTCACTAGAATGACAAAAGGCCGAACTGTTCGGGTTACCCTTACCTATCCGACCTATCATATTACCCTGGACTTCCAGGTCCTCGTTTACCAAGCACCACCACAAAGTGCTCGTTTCCTAGGAACCTTTCACAACGTGCTTACATGTGCTTACAAAACTGGTCCACAATGGTGAACTTCATGAGATGACCCACTTTGAAGAAGCTCAAGATGCTCACTGTTGATATCCCAAAAGAATCCAAAAGAACTTTGCTCTAGAGCCTTTGAAGGTTTACATCAAAAATGGAAATTATTGTGGACAGTATGTGTGCCTTCTTTCCCAGTGGACTTCTAGTTTTCCATTGAATTATCGAAGATTGATGTATTGGTATCCAATTCGAAAGCTGCAAAAGTCTGCAAAAGTGTGTCGTACAAAACGATTTCCACACTTCAATTCACAAAAAAAACGGGCGCAGAACCAAAGTGTGAAAAGTGCGTGAAAACACCGTGAAAGTGAGTGAACAACCCGTGATTTTAGGGTCACCTTGATCCGTGAAAAAACTCTTTTTTTATGCCAATCGCAGCACATCGGTTCGTTGCAGTCCAGTATATACAGTATATATACCACTGTTTTGCAATGGGGGTAGTTGAAAATGTCCTACGAAAAGCCAAAGAAAGGGCAGCCAGAGCTAGTGCAAAGATCAGTGGTTCGAATGCGGTTAAGTTTGGGCCTAAGATTGGAATTCGGTCTTTGCTCATTAAATTTAAAACATGTTTATATAGCTACAATGAAAAAGTCAAGATGGTACTTTACAGTAACGCAGGCACTTTCTTTACAAGTGCTCGTTTCCTTGGCACTTTGGAAGTTCTGGGTTATCTCATTATTTATCTCGTTATTTATCTCAATATTTATCTCAGTAATTATCTCAGCAATTATCTCATTATTCAACAACAGAGCATGTTGATACTTAGCCAAAGTGTCACTGATCTGAATTCTTGCATACGGTGGATGGTTGCTAATTCCACCAGTTGGTAGATGGTAAACATCCCACGACGAGGAGGAGCCTGCTCGATGCCTTGGAGAAGTGACCCTCCCACTTCACCACATTGCCAAACAGCCGGGACGCCAGTCGCAAGGGATCTATACTTGGATGTGCAGGCCCCACTTAGGATCCGTGCTTGAAAAAACACATATTATATAATCACATAATCGAAGGAAGTTTAGAAGTCAAACTTCCGACAATATGGACAGATGAAAAGCTGAGGTGGGAAGAGTCAGAGAAGAGAAGAGAAGAGAAGAGAAGAGAAGAAGAAAGAGAAAGACTCCGGACCACTTTTGGAAGTTGAGATGTCAAAAAAGTGCACACCGTTGTAAAGTGTAAAAAGCTGACGGGTTCGGAGCACTTTTGCAAGTTGAGATGTCGAAAAAGTGCACGCCGTTGTGGCGTGAAGCACATTTCGAAGTCAACATGTTAAAAACACAACATGTTCGCGCCACTTTTAGACTTTGAAGTGTCGTTTCGCGTGGCAGGCGCAAGGGATTGTGCACCGTGTTAAAAGTTAGCAAAACATGAGGGTTTTGTGGCATTTCCAAAAACGATGGCAGGCGTGGAACATTTGAAGAGGATCTGCAAAGATGCATTTTCCATGGTAGGCGCAGTACAAGAGACATGTTCATCAGAGCTGTTACGAGGCCCGGGCGCTGATTTCCTGAGAGGGGTTGCATTTTGGAGCATCAGACGATCTTCAGTTTTGGGAAGATGATTTTGCGTGACAGGTGCAGCACTTCGTATGACCTGGCATCACTTTTTCGTGGCAGGCGCAGTAGTTTAGACAGATGGAGTGGAAAAATCGCAAAATGCATTGGTACGAGGCCGTCAGCTCTGCACTCAACTTTCCATTTTTGAAAAAAGTCTCGCAGAATTGTTTCGTTTGTGCTGTGATGTTGTCATCGAAAATTGAGGAAGTCTCGCAGAATTGTTTCGTTTTTGATGTTGTCAAGTTCACAAAAGTTGAGGAGGTCTCGCAGAATTGCTTCGTTTTGGATGTTGTCAAGTTCAAAAACTGAGGAAGTCTCGCAGAATTGCTGCGTTTTCAAGCTTGCGGATACACAGATAGACAGATAGATAGATAGATAGATAGATAGATAGATAGATAGATAGATAAACAACAACAACAACAACACCACCAACAGCAACTGCAATTGCAACTGCAACTACAACTACATTACAC